AAAACCGTAAGTTGAATTTATCGTGTATTTTAAAAGAAAAGCCAGCTGTGCATTAACAGAGATCCAGAGTTTTCAACATGGCCCTCATTTTCTTTTCTACTATGTAAATGTCCATCTTATTTTGTGTTTGTTAAATTCAGAATAAAAATAAATGTTTTTAAAGATGTGTCCGTGCTACCAAGTTTAAATCTTTTCAATGTTATGCAATTGTGTTCCATATCATATATTTAAGTACTGGTTGATTTTCCCTCCAACTCTCTTATTTCTGTCTACTTACTTATCTTTTCCTCTTTCCTAAGCTATAATCAAGCAAGATCTTTCTTTCTCATAGAGGCCTTTGGCCACTGTCTCAGGAAAGAATGGAAAAGTCTGGAACAGGGGCAGCTAGGTGGTGCAGTAGATAGAGCGCTGGCCCTGAAGTCAGGAGGACCTGAGTCCAAATCCAGCCTCAGACTAAACACTTGACACTTACTAGCTGTGTGACCTTGGGCAAGTCACTTAACCCCAGTTGCCTTTAAAAAAAAAAAAGAAAAGTGTGGAACAGACACCCTGCTAGAGATAAGGCTTTCCTTTTACCTTTTCCAGTTTACCTGGAAGGCTTTGTGTTCTAGGCTGAAAGTATACTAAACAGAGGACTAAGAAACTTGACTTACAGTGATTTGGTCACTACAAATTATATGACCTTGTATAAGTCTTTTAACTCATGGTTTTTTTTTCCAGCTTATAAATTGTCTTTAACAAGTTTACATAATATCCAACAGCAGCCAATAGAAAGCTTAGCAGACAAGTCTTAAGTTACCTACCTTGCCATGAGGAAAAAAACTCTTCAGAAATGTAAAGTGTAATTATAATTTTTACAAAAGAAAAATGGATTCAATAGAGTAAAATACAGCCTCAAAGGCTCCTGTTCAACAAGATGTTTCCCAGGCAGGTTTGTATCATACAAGATTCCTGGACATCTGCAACTAGAGAGACAACTTGTGTTCAGCGTCCTTTGATTACCAATACCAAATGAGATTTCAAACAATGCTCTTTCACCAGTTGATAAGGTTGAGTTAAAGCTCAAAGCCCAAATGGAAAAACAGTTCCTACAGGGCCATCATATGCCCCAGTTTACAGATTACATTGTGCTAATGATTATCATTCACTTCTTTTGTTATGGATAGAAGCAACATAGCAGACAGAGGTCTGGGCTTGGCATTAGGAAGACTTGGGTTTAAAACCTGCCTCTGATGGTTAGTAACTATGTGACATGGGGCAAGTCATCCAGTTCTACACATCTTCTAGCAAATCCTTAGGACTTAGTTGCTCACTCATGGAGGGGCTGAATCTGTGTTGTTGGGGGGAGTTTCCACAATAAGAGATCTTTATGCTGACTAAATCTTAGATCCATGTTAAATGAGCATATATGTTCTGAAGCTCAGAAAAAGAACCCCATGGATAATGTTCACTGAGGCAGGTAGAGTGCTTCTTTTTAAGGCTTCATTTCTCCTTATCCAACTTCGTAAATTTTAAATTTTATTTTTATTGCTGCATTTTGCTTTACATCATTTTCATTTTGGAATATATACCTTCTGCAGCAAGTTGTCCCTTATAACAAAGAGATACTGGGGTGAGAGGGGGAAGGAGGAGGGGAGGAAAGAGAAAGAGAAAGAGAGAGAGAGAGAGAGAGAGAGAGAGAGAGAGAGAGAGAGAGAGAGAAGAGAGAGAGAGAGAGAGATCAAATACGTCTTGCTGCACATGCAATAGTACATACCCAGAGTCTGCCACCACTTCTGAACAGGCAAACTCTTTGTTTCTTTCTGCTCTTTCAAATTTCTCAGACATAAGTTATGGGGGGGAAAAAGAGGAGACCATCCATGATCCCTAGTTTATTTAAGGTGAAAAAGGATTAAGGTTGATACTTTTTTTTTCCCCTACAACTTGGGGCTTTTCAAACTAGATAGTGTCTTTCTCCATGGTATTTAACACGCCACTTCTGACCCACATGAATAACTGCTGGGGAGTGAGAAATATGTATTATAAGCCCCTTAAAGGTGATCGTGAAACATACTACATAAATAATAAACAGAATGGGATTTAAACTTTTTATTGATAAATCATGGTTTTCTATTGAATAATAAAGGTAATTATTTTCATTTGGACATTAATAATGCACAGTTTGAAGAGGAGGAAGAATAGCATGAAATGCAAACATTTAAAATTAAAACAAATAGAATGACCTTACTAAATACATCACAATTTTGTCCTCAGTGGGAAAAATGATCGATCTTATTTTAACAATACTCTTTGTATAAGCAAAACAATTTCCCAAAGTAAAGAAGGGAGAAACTATCATTAACAAAATCTTTCAAAGCTTCTAAAGGAAACTCAAGCAAAAGACCATTGTTTTCATTTTCTTCCTTCTCCTCAAAGGCATACAAGACAAATACAAGAGGCCAAAGGCCTGAAGAGTCAGACAAGAGCCACATCCTATGGAAATTACAGAAGATCATGTATAAGGAGGATAGGATGTGAATCTGTCCCCTCTGGATAATCATTCAGTATGCTTGATACGACAACTCCAAGCCTCATGACAAACTCACACAGTCAGAATGATCATTTTTAAATAGAAAGTAACACATACTTCAACGTCATTCCTAAAAAATATAAATTACACACCCATGCACACATATGCACCTTATAACCTAACACAAGAATGCTCTTTTAAACGGAAGTCCAAAAGAGCCTAGGCAATATTCCTTTCCTACATATTAAGATGGTTGAAATAAAAATGTTATTTCATGATATGACATCACAGAGGACACATCATAGTACCCTTTGTTGAGGCATGTAACTGTAATACAGTTAAGGAAATAGTAGTCAGAGGTTCAAATTCACTAGCTAATGTTCTGGAGTGGTTGATGGAATTACATGCCTTTTTCCTCAATTCTGATGGCCCGAAGTGACCAATTCAGCTAGTTTATTCCCAATACAAAACAAGCCACTTTATTCTCTTATGCATATATGGTATTTTAATTTGCATTATAGTTATATTGACCATGTGTTGATATGGAATGGATGAGTGTTTTGGGGAGTTAGTAAAAGTATGCTACGCTTTCCTGTTATTTTAAAATTAAATCCAAAGAAAATATTTGACAAGGCCTGCCTGTCTGCTAAACACAAGCCAAAGCTGAAAGGAGAAAATGTTTTGAAGTTCAACTGAAAATTAAACCATTTACTATAAATGTTACAAAGAGGCACTACAAAATGAAATTATATAATCCTAAAGCACTGTACTAGCACTGGCAGTATGGTATAGTGGATCTCATCCTAGACCTGGGGTCAGACCTGAGTTTAAAACACAAGTCAGACATTTTTACTACCTATGTGTTCTTCAGCAAATCACACTCTCTCAGAGCCCTTATCTCCCCATCTATAAAACAAAGTCTAGACCATCTGAATTTTCATTTTCAGTGACTATTAGCTCTTTGATAATAATGTTTGTCTTCATATTCTTAACCCCAGAACAGTGCCTATAACATAGTGAGTACTTAATAAATGCTTAAGTCTGAACTCTAAATCTTACGATGCTTCTTATACTATTCACTTCACAGGGTGATTGTGAGATAAAGCCTTTGTGAACCTGAAAGTGTTACAGATAGTTGAGTTCTGGATACAAATAGCAGCCACTTTTAGTTTGGGGATGAATTAAATGTTTATTGCTAAGCTAAATTTGGCATGGAAACAATTCATTTTTCCAAGATTTACTGTTATGGATCAATAAAATAGGTAGGAAAAAAGCAAAAGGTGTTTTCAAGAATTAGTCTGGCTTATATGATAGTATCAGAAGAGTGGGTACATGATCTAAATGATTTTACATTATTAGCCTATCATATCCTTTTTTTTTTTTTGGCAAGGCAATCAGGGTTAAGTGATTTGCTCAGGGTCACATAGCTAGTGAGTATCATGTGTCTAAGGCCAGATTTGAACTCAGATCCTCCTGACTCCGGGGCCAGTGCTCTATTCACTGCACCACTTAGCTGCCCCTATCATATTCTTTTTAAAAAAAAACTTTGGGGGTGGGTGGTTATTGTTCAGTCATTTCAGACTCTCCATGACCCCATTTTGGGGTTTTCTTGGCAAAGATAACTGAAGTGGTTTGTCATTTCCTTCTCCAGCTCATTTTACAAATGAGGAAACTGAGACAAACAGGGTTAAGTGACTTGCCCAGGGTCACACAGCTAGTAAGAGTCTGAGGGCCAGATTTGAACTCAACAAGATGAGTCTTCCTGATTCCAAGCCCAGTGCTCTATCCACTGTGCCACTAAGCTCCCCTTAAAAGAGCTAGACCATATCTTTTTAAATCATGTCAATGTGGCAGGGGTAGTATTATTCATCTGGATTTAAGACAAAGCATAAAGAATTAATTTGATTTAGCTAAGAGAACTGACAATATGTTGTCATTACCAAAACTAACTAATATGTTGTTATGTCCTATATCTAGATTGAGGTTTTATTTTTTGAAATATGGAGGAGAGGAATTTCTTTGAATGCTACCAAAAAGAATGTTAACCCACAGCCAGATGTGTACCAGGATTCCATGCAAGTAGAATATTTTTCAATCTATCCTTAGGGAGCAACTTGGTACTGTGGAAAGAGAGCTGACTCCAGAGCCAGAGGAGCAGGGTCCAAAGCCTAACCTTAACCAAGTAACTTCACTTTCTGGGGTCTCAGATCCCTCCTCTATAAAATGAGAAGACGAGACAAGGCAGCTTCTGAGGTCCTATACTTATCTGATAGTGCCTACCATAAAGAAGACTTAAAATGAAACTTTTTAAATGATGTATGATTATACTTGTGGAAAACAAACTGCTAAAATGAAGACACTCAGAAGTAAAGGTGCTCTTTTATTTATCCTAAGTTGTGCCAATTAGTGATTCTGAGGTTCCTAAATTATGGTCCAGGGTCCTTTAATAATGCGTAATAGCCCTCTGGTAGACCCAGAGATCACTGATGGGTTCGAAATGCAAGGATTTATTAGGGAGTTTCCCAGTCCACATGTGGAAGAATAAAGGGCAATTTAAAGTTAATTTCCAAATACCTGAAAACCTAAATGTCATAGTTTCATAAGACTTAATTTATCCCTTAATATTCATTAATCATGGTATACATGTAACTTCTCCCCTCCCACCTCCAAGAATATCAATAGCCACTACTATTAACCAATGCTACTATTGAATCCCTAATATACCTGAGGTTTCATAATGGTCACTAATTCTAAAACTAACCCATGTCTTAGGCAGGGAAGTACCCTAAGAGAGGTCGAGTATGAAAACATGAAGTGATGTAACTCAAGCTCATTCACAAAGCTGAGCTGCGTCATTGTGTCTCGGTTGTTCATACCTCACTTTCAGCAGCATTATACCAGCTGATGAAATCTAGGATTAATTAAATGGGAGATATACCACTCACACAGAATGGACTCTACAGAGAGTATCATCAGCCGACTTTTATAAATGAAAAAAGCAGAGTGCAGAAAAGTTATCCACATCTCACATGATAGCATGAGTTGGGAGGGACAAGAACATAGTCATGGTCTTTCCAGTTCCAAGTTTCTATATATGCTACATTGGAACCCCATGTTAGTGATTTTTGACAATAGAACCTCAAAATAATATGTTTAAGAGAGTAGAATTAAGTATAAAACTTTTCTGGGATTTCATCTAAGGGGCTATTTGCTGAAACAGCCTTATTCTAAGGCAGTTTCATCTAGGAGAAAGCATTGGTCAGAGGAAGGAACAGTGGGCCAAGAATCAGGAGACCTGGGTTAACTCCTAGCTCTACCACTTACTAATGACCTTGGGCAAGTCCCCTAACTCTCCTCAGGTTCAGTAAAGTCACTTAACTGCTCAACACATCATTCTTGGATGGAATTCTAAGTGACTATAAAATGATCTTACTGCTGCTTACTCTTACTCCCTTCCCAGGGTTGTTGTGAGAAAAGAACTTTGTAAACTATAAAAGTGCTAAATAAGTGTGTATTATTGTTATTATAAGGTGCTCCTATGATACAGAATGTCAAGTGCCCTTCCACAGTTGATAAGAGTCGTTTTAGGTTAGTACCAACTCATTAGCAGATCTCATACCCTCCCTGAAAAAAAAATTACTGTAATAACTGATTGAATAGTACCTGCTCTCTTCCTAGGCCACTCTATAAGAAACTATTCTCTACACATATGCTGTATGCATTCAAACATTAATAATAATGGCACTTAGACGATTCCCAGATTCCTAAGATATAACATTTGACTTTTGCAATCAAAACTTCCATAAGCAATAAGAGACTATACATAAGAACTAATTTAAAGGACTTTAGTTACATATATTCTTTTCTCCAGACTTGTCATTTCACAGGAGTGAAGAACTCCCCCCAGTGATTCAGGCTGGTAACTTGTCTATAGCTTATAGTCTGAAAGAGCCATCTGGGGCACTGAGAAAGTATGTGTTTTACCCATGGTCACACATGTTCTGTGTCAGAAACAGTATTTGAACCCCTAGTTTTCCTGATTCTATCTACACTGACAGTCTGTTCCGAATTAATTGCCTGATCTTATGGTAGCAGGTATATGTCCTTTCTTTGGACCAATTATCTGTCATCTAGCTGTAGACCAAACCCCAAATTTCTGCCTAGAAGCACACACTGATCAGCATAGTGCTAAAATATTCCCCGTAATTTCAATATAAAACTTAAGACACATCCCTGGTCTGTTTCCTCCACCAGGGCTGCCAGCAAACCTTAAAAACCAAACCACGGTCTTCAGCTCAAGTTTCTTCCAGTGTACACTAAATCTGGTTTCCACTGGAACAGCCTCAGACCCTCATACCTGAGCTATACTAGAATCTGAAAGAACAAGGAAAGAAAGGAGGATAGGATTAGAATTGCAGGGAACTAGGAGAGTTTAGGAAAAGAGAACCACTCCAGCTAATTTTTATTTCACTACTTCAGGCTCTGGAAAGAACCAAATTCATAAAAGATGGAAAGGGCACCCTAAGGCCATGAGATTATAAGTGTGGGGCCCAAACAAGTTCCTCCTTGCGTTTTCCTTCATTCCCAGTTTTCAAAGGGACTCCACTGACAAAAGCATTTTTTCTTCTTGGAGAAAAGGCAGCTCTCTTCATAACAGTAATGTACAGCTGGTTTCAGTAAGAACCTATGTTTCATTTATCAAATGTGGCAAATAAATGAAGCCGTCATAACAAAATATTTTTTAACACTGCAGGAAGTTCTACCTTACACACAATCCAAAGACATTTTGGGCGGGAAAAGAAGGGTAGGCACAGGGAAGTAAGGCATACTGAGATTACTTTCCAAATCAATTAGACTCAAGGTTCCTCTTAAAAACTGAGGTGGAAGGGGAGAAAAATATCAATGAAGATAACATTGATATTTGCTCATTTTCACCCATGGAAATAACTCTATTTCAACACAATCAGAAGATGAATTAAACTATGAACACAAATCATCCATGGAAATCTCAATGTACCCCTTACAAAATAAAAGATCACAGCCAAATTTGCAAGGAGAAGAGAAACAAGAAGCACCAGAAGCCAACTACTGCAAAGTGTTGAAATAATCTTGGGGAGCTATCCTTGCAAAGGTTGCAATCTTGTTCTCCGTCACACAGGTCACAAGGGGACACATCCAGCATCACTTTGGAGTTGTAACTTCTGACTGCTTGTCTCCCTATTCAAAGAGAAGAATTTTTTTAATCGTGTTTTTATTTTATTTATTTCGATTTTTTTTAAATAAACACTTTGCCAGGATGCAATAGCATTTCCTACACTGTTCTGAATTTTCAGATGTTTATATTTTAAAATACACACACTGTCTCTCTTTCAATTTAATGGTTTAATTATTTACTTTGACATGAAACCATTGATCAGAGAGGGGCAAGTCCAAACTCTTAGCCAAAGTAAAAGGGTATTTTCAGTCAAATCCACTACCAAGAAATTGGCTAACGTTTAAAAATAAGTTGGAGATGTAGATCGCAATCTCAAACACAATGTAATTATGTTGCTGGAAGAAGAAAGACTCAGGCTATAACTTGTTAAAAACCCTTGGAGAACATTTAGTTTAAATTAATATTGTCTATGCATACATCACACATAGGTATGTATTCATATATATGTGTGTATAATTATATATTTATTTACTTCACAACATGAATGGCCTTAAAAAAAAGACAAAGGATTATTTTGAAACACAGGTTTGTCTCCTAACCAAGGGGACTGTCTGAAAACTTTAAATACCATGTATCTTTACAATTTAATTAAATCATGTTTATGACCCTTCTCTGAATACATTAAACCTTTTTTTTTTAATCTCTAAGCTGAAATTGCAACAATACCAGGTCGGAATGTAGAAATCCTGCAGCATGTAACTGCTTACTATATACTTCTTAATTTTTTTTTCAAAGCACACTCAACTTATACTTCTTTGACTTTTTAGTGGAGGTTTCAGATGTGGGATTTTTAAAAAATATATATTATATAGTTTTATAAGGTAGGTTGTGGCACTTTAAAACTATCTCATATCAGATTTTATTTTAATGATTAACACCAGTAACATGGTTTCCTTTCATTATCCATTGCTTTCCTGACAAATTTCCAGAGATAAATCATCTTTTCTTTTGCTTTAAAGTTGCCAAATGTTCTCCTTGTACCTTTGAGAAACAGTCATTTGGGAAATGTGGTAATTTGTTAGTGTATTTGGGCAAATCTTCCAGCAAAGTTCTTATAAAGTAAGAAAGGATTTTATTTGTTTATTTTGTAGATATTTTTAGAAGCATATGTTATCTCCTCTTTACACCCTTCTGCTCCCTAGAATATATGTTCCTTAAGACAGGGACGTTTTCATTTTTGTCTTTGTCTCTCCCAGTGATCAATATATATTAGGGGCTTAATGAATGCTTATTAAAATTGATTAATGGGGCAGCTAGGTGGCGCAATGGATACAGCACCGGCCCTGGATTCAGGGGGACCTGAGTTCAAATTTGGCTTCAGACACATAACACTAGCTGTGTGGCCCTGGGCAAGTCACTTAACCCCACTGCCTAACCAAAAAAAAAAAAAAAAAGATTGATTAACCTCAGAGCAGCTAGGTGGCAGGTGGTTAGAGCTCAGGCCTTGGAATCAGGAGGACCTGAGTTCCAATTCGACCTCAGACACATGACATTTACTAGCTGTGTGACCCTGCGCAAGTCACTTAACTCCACTGCTCACCAAAAAAGCCATATACATATACATACATACACACACACACACACACACACACACACACACATATATATTAATTAACCTCCATGTACTCAGATTTCTTCATTTGTAAACTATGGAGGTTAGACAAGATGGTTGCCAAGGTCTCTTCTGCTAGATTTTTGATCCTATGACCCTGGGTTCTCAAAGTTTATGTTGGAAAACTTCAAGCTCTGTTTGTTCCTATTCCAGACCAGAAGGTCAAAAGTTTGGCCCTAGCAAAAGACTTTGTATATTCTGTCCAGAACCAGCCCATGTCTTTAGGGCCTCATTTTCAGAAGCTTCAATGAAATGTTTTGGTCCATGGAATTCATTTTAATAATTTTTATTAATAAATAAATTTTATTTATTAATACATTATATATTTGTAGAAATGTTTTAAAGCATTTCTATAAATATATATTTAAATATAGAGTAGTTGTGAACTGTATCTGTTGACTAAGTACCCAAACAGATGAAATAATGGATCCTTGAAATATAAGATTATTTGGATGAATGCATTATTATCAGGACTTGCCACACCATCCTCCCTTTTCTATCCCCAGAGTGTTACTCTCACTCTTAAAAAAAAATAAAAATATGTAAATGTTCAATACTGTGATAGAGAAGACTAAATCTTTTCCAAATCTGGAAAACTAAGAAAGGACAAAAGAAACTGATGTACTTTCCTATCAGAGGGATAACCAGTGGCATGACTTTCTTAGTTTCATGTTAATATTATCAAGTTCTACAAATGAATTAAACTTATTTTGAAATCTAATTCTTTGCAAATGACCTACAAGATATACAAAATATTCCAAAAGTCTTAGTGTATTGCTTAGTGAATAGCTTTCGAAAATTTGTTAAGTAAACTTTAAGTTTTAATAGCTTTTAAGCTCCAATAGCTAAAAACTACACTAAGACTTTGGGGATACCCTGCAAAAGGGAATTTGTTGCAAAATGTGATATACAAGTCATTAAGAGCTTAGTATAAGGAAAATCTCAGGGTAAACTTTTTACTCTGTAACTAAATTCAAATCAGACACAAATGCCATTGTTGACTATATAAAATTCAGGTACTAATATTTTTTAATTAATAGCAACTACAAAAGCACAATGAACTTGAGTTATTTCCAACATGAAACCTGTTTTTCTCAGCACACTATTCCCACCTAAACATGCACCTATTGGCACCAAGCCAATGAAATTCGTTATTCTAGGGGGGAGAAAAAAACATGAATCACGATTGTTGAGATCTTGTCCTCTAAATGTTCTAACACCCAAGTTCTGAAACCAAATCCATTTTTATAGGTGCAAGGGTTCAATTTCATGCCAAATGAATCTATCTATAAGATGGAGAATATTCTTATAAAAGGAACTCCCATTGTAAAACAAGAAACAGATGAAATAGCTTACTTGAAATATGAGCAAAAAAGATATGGAAACTGAATTTTAACTGGAGTTTGTATTTTAATTTTTTCTTTGTCAACATAATTTTGGGCATTTAAGTTCAAAGTCTAAAACAATGCTTAAGCAAAAATAACACTTTCAAATTTGATGTCATTATTCATACACAAAATAGCATGTATGTTATACTGTTTATAAATTATTAGCAAATCTCTTCACTTAAGTGGGGGCTTTTGCCACCCACCAAGTGAACAAGTTATGCAGTGTTTTTCAAAAATGTAACTGCCTATTTTGAGTTCTGAATAACTATACACAAGACAGAAAGAGTAACACTTACTTGGTTCATAATAATCCACTATAGATACTGAGGCATCTTGGGTATTTGATACTTTGAAGTTTCTCACAGCAGGAATTTCTACACAAAACTGTGTTTCATTTACCTTGAAAAAAATAGGAACAAAGTTTGGAGTACAATGTGTATGTATTTCAGTGTACAATGAACAACCTTAGAGTCCTCAGTCTGGAAACAATTATGAATCTTCTATGTCTTCTGTAGTCAATGAGGACCTATTAGGCATAGAAGATTAATGGCTTCATCAATTTAAAAATTAGGAGGCAACTTAGAGATCATATTACAGCTGAGGAAACCCTAAAAAATTAAGTGACTTATGTACTAATTATTAGCAGGGCAAGGATTAGAACCCAAGTTTTTTGGATCACAGTTTGACAGCTCCATTGATTAAAACAGGCTGGCTCCTGATTCCTTCTGTAATTGAGTTAGCCTCCACTTCCAAAAATACTTCTGAGAGTGCAAGTCAATCACTTCTCTCCTTCGAGATCTACGATGTTCCATAGAAACTCCCTTAAAATACTAGTGTAAGAATTCTACCCTCACTTCCATTAATGTAATCACAGAAAACCTCAGACACCCACAACTGAAGCAATCCATCAATATAAATTATATGTTAAATAGTTTTCCTAAAATCTCACTATAAGATATAATTAGGTTATTAATCAATTTGAGAGGACAAGGTTTTAGCAACTGGATGAAGGCAGATGAAAGAACACAGGAAACAACTTATGATTGGTTGAAAGAATAAGAAATACCACTGGGCCTATACATAAAAATAGCAAACAGATAAGCAATGAACCAGTACGGGAGTTGAGGACTGAAGTTCCAGTTAGATCTAAACTTTTGAGAGGGAAGCAGCCTTGAAGGAAGTGGGAAGTTTCTTTTTCTCAATTATCCCACACTTCGACCATTAATGATGTAAGTGGGAAACACTGGATCAGTATAAGACAGCATACCCAGATGGGGGTCAAAGAGATTAAACCAGAAGAAGACAATACATTAATAGAGAACAAAGTGACATGTCAAGGATAGAGGGTTCAGAAAGACAGTAACCAGAGGAGGGAGGCAGCTCCAAGGAACGTGACCCTTAATATTATGGATTCAAGAAAGGATTTTTAGGCTATAAAGTGCTGAGAGCTTTGCTACATGTATTTCTCACATGTATGACCCACTAAAACTGTTTGAACACTTTTACTCTTCCCATGGATCTACATGTATCTGTGGCAGAGTGTGCCCAGGCTTTTTTGGGAGGAGCAGGGAGAGGATATTTTGTACCAACTGTTCTCGCTATGACATTCTAGTAAATGCCTTTTCCAAAACCTAATTAATTTATTGGCTGATCGTTAATGAGAAATATACTTATGGGTGCTCATGAATGATGACCATATAAATAAATCCTCCCAGGGTTACCCCTAGAATCCTGAAAGAGAAGTAGTCAGCCAACCTTTTAGGAACTTCAACCCAAGAGTGTTAAGGCAAATTGGAAGAGTAGCTTCATTCGGGGTGCTATTCAAGTTATCTCTGCATCCCCAAACATCAGCTCTAAATCAATAGCTTTGTAGCATTCCCAATAACTTCCAGACAATTATAGACTCAAGGAGGATCATCGCAATATTTTCAAACTCTCAAATCATTCCTGACAATGAAGTGTGCACATCAGTATATCTAATAGCATAAAAACTAGATAATGGGTAGACAAATTCTACCTTAACCAGATTTTAGACATCCATGGGATAGTGGAGAGCTTGTGACTACAACTAAAAGGCAGTCTGTAGGAACAGACCTGTCCTAAATACCACATCTGGGACAGTTTTCTTTTGTGATGGCTCAATCCAAATGATCATAAAAACTGGGAGGTCAGGAGAATGAGGCAGAGATCAGGGAGTGTCCTAGTCCATTCAACAAGTGCAACATTTTTTGTTTATAGACATAGTGTCTCCAGGCACCTAAACTGCCACAAAATCCAGGAAGTTGCGAATAGGACCAGTAGAAGTTTGAGAAACTGTGGGCAAAATGGCAGCTTTATTAGTAGTAATGCTATAATAGTAATGCTTAAAATAGCTGCTGCTTACTATCAGTGCCTCAAGCTCCAGTTTACCTGGAACACTTGGAGAATACAGTTTTCTAAGCACCCAAAATAAGACTGATTCCAGGATATCCAGAGGAATTTGGGGCAGGTAAAGACAGATACAAAATTTTTAGCCTTTTCTGCACAAGAATTACCACCACTTCCCTCCCTCTCCTCCCTCCCACCCTGCCAAAAGGTGACAACAGAGCTGCCAAACTGATTTTTTAAAATTCAAATATTCCATTATTAGATTTATTTGCCATGAAAAACAGACCATAATTGACAGAAATAGCACAGAATTATGGGAATAGCCCTGGATTTAAATTCATAGGATTCACACACAACCACTAAAAAATTTGTAGATTGTTAAATAAGTGAGCAGAACCAGGAGAACAACTTATACAACACCAATATTGTAAAGACAAACCACTTTGAAAGACTTAAGAATTCTAATCAATGCAATGAACAATCACAAAACAGGGCTAAATGACAAAGAATCCTACCCACCTCCTGATTCAACACAGAATGAGACATATTTTTGGTCATGGATAGTGTGAGAATTTGTTTTGCTTTAACAATTTCTGTTATGTCTATGTCTATGTATGTGTATATGTATGTATGTGTGTGTATATACATATATACATACACATATACAGTCATACAGTTCATATGTTACATATGTGTCATGCGGGGTTTTTTTTTCTTTTTTTCTCCAAAGAGAAGGAATGGAGATAAAATAAATGGTTGTTAATTTTTAAAAAATTAAAATTATAGCTGAATTTTTCATTTTAGCATTATACTATTAAAGATTCCTAAATCCTCCCTATATCAGGGGTTTCCAAATGTAACCTGTGAACCACTGGTGGTCATTGAGAGTCCTACAATAAACCTACTAACTGGTATGTTGAAATTTATATTATTACAGCATCTATAATCTTGTTTCTTGGGTGTATATTAATAATTATTTGCATAGCCTGCATTGTTATAATCTCATCAAAATCTTTGCCTTAATTCTAGTCAAGTTTTTGCTTGGCTGATTTGAGTCTTTCCAATGGATATAGAAAGCCAAGTGGTTCTTATTATCTTTTGGCAGGGTGGGACTGTGGAAAGCATGCTGGAGCAGGAATCAGATGACCTAGGATCAAGTCCCAGATCTACTGCTTACTATCTCGGTGACAATGGGAAGTCACTTAACCTGCACTTTTAGTCTTTCATCTTTCAGATGAAGGGGTTAGATTAGATCATCTCTAAGATTCCCTCCAGCTCCAAATTTATGATCCTATGAACCGTGGCCTAAAAAGTCCACCATGCACCAAAAACAAATAACCTAAATAACATGCTAAAAAGCCTGTGGAAAGTTATGCTATATTAAACATGACAAAATACTAGATGTTTATATACATTACATTTATTTTTTCTACTTACAGAGTCTAAATATAGGTTGACTTGGCCATGATCATTCTCTACTTTCTTAATTGTATCACTCAGTAAAATTGCATCTGAAGGCATTGCAAAACCACTCAGTAAGTTAACTTCCATCAGAGCCATGCCACTCTTTGATGGTCCCCGAAACCTAAAAGTAAAAAGGGAGAGAAGCAGGAAGGAAGGAAGGAAGGAAGGAAGGAAGGAAGGAAGGGAGGGAGGGAAGGAGGGAGAAGGGAAAAAAGAATGGAAGAAGTAAAAGGAAGGGAAGGAAGGAGGAAAGAAAGAAGGAAGGAAAGGAAGGAGAAAGGGAAGGAAAGAAGGAAGGAAAGAAGGAAGGAAGGGAAGGAAGGAGAAAGGGAAGGAAAGAAGGAAGGAAGGAAATTTATGTGAAAAGGGAGAACAAAATTTCATGAAAAACTGAATATGCTGACAGCAGTTTACTATACATATAACACAAAATGCAATGTTTACTTAGAAATTAAAAGTCTCATTACATTAATTGTTTTTATTCACAGTTCAAATAAGAATTTGTGTGGGGAAATATTTATGCACTAGTTTCTCTAAATGCTTCTTCTTAAAACCCAGACCTTATGACAAAAGATCAAATAACTTTTCTTTCATGAACCTCTTTCAAAATTCAAAAAAATGATTACGTAAAAATCCCCAGTGCACAGCAAGGTAAGCTATATGGGACTCTATATAGGGAAGGATGCAATCTACTTTATTTCAAAAAGGAGTCTTCTTTTAGTTGCCATGATTTTAAAGCAAGTTACATTTTTTTTTTGTTTTCTCAGGAGAGAATGGCATGACTTCTCAGCTGAAAGCCAGGACCCAAAGTGGAGGCAGCTCTTTCTTAATCTCTCAGGGCAGCCCCAATGCCAAACCCTTAGCACTCTTTTAACCGTCTAGTTTTGGAAAAAGAAGGCTTAATGAGGAGAGATTTTCTCTTTGTTCCCCTGAATATTTTAGAGTTCACTTTGTGCTTTCTTTGGCCAACTTGGTAGGATTACACACCTTGGAAAGTTTTATTGCCCTGCATTGTTCTTTGAGCTGTTATACAAAATGCCCCTACCCACCTTTCCCCTCCCCAGCCCCCAAAATCTAAGTAACAACAAAACTTCTACCTCCTAGAGAATGGCTTTTTTTTTCCCTAAAATGGATAGGTGGCAGGAGCTACTTCCTTGGAATATAGAAGTAATCAGAATGATCATGGAAAAGAATATGTTTCCAATGTGCATAGTATGACAATTATTCAATTAGTTTCAATTACTATTTATTTACAGTTACTGACGGCCAAAAAAAAAAGAAGAAAAAGGAAGACTGGGCAGAGAATACTTGCTTTTCAAAATAGTGATATTAAGCCTGGCAGTCTGACTGATTGAAAAGCAAGACAGCACAACTGCTGACTTCAGCTGGCTCAAAATCAGAAGCAACTGAAACCATCTGTTGGGTCCTCCACATAGCCAAAATAGATGCAATTGAAAATAAGTCACTGAAATGGACCTCGGGGCAATTCTATCTGAATAATTATCATAGATGAGGGGAATGGCCAAACTGTTTAAATTATATTAAATATTAAATCTAAATGTAACGTTGTGACCTCATCTTTCTGCTTGCTACCTAAGAAGTGAGAGACAACTTATACCCAGGATAAGCTAGAACCTTACTATAATACTATTCAACATAAAGCAGAAATGAGAATAACATAGTAGTCCTTAACCTCAGATCCATGAAGTACATGGATAGATTTCAGAGAGACTGGGAATTTGAATAGGAAATATATACATACATATATATAACGTATATAACATGTATACACACACATATACAACTACACATATACAAATATACATATGTGTGTATATACATATATATCTTTATTTTCACTAACCTTTGGTTCATTTTGTAATCCTAATATGGATTTTTTACTTATGTATTTATAAACATTCTGAGAAAGGGGTTCATAGGCTTCACCATACCACTAAAGGAATCCATGACACAAAAAATATTATGAATCCCTGGAAGAAGGTAAAGTTGCCTTGGACCCTTATTCAAGAACACCCAGTAAAAAGACCAAATAATCTCATTATAAGATGCATAAACCAACCCCATCCACGCACCTATCCTAGGTCAGTATTACAACCCCAGTGTTAAATGAGTACATGTTTGAGATTTTCCACAGAGATTTAGTTGCATACAGTGTGGTAAAAGGGAAAGAGTACTTGTTTTAGAGTCAGAAGAGATGGGTACAAATCCTAAGCTTTGTACTTACTACCTGCATGAAAACGGGCAAGCCACACTCTTATGAGGGTGTGGCCTAGGTCATCTCTAACATCCTTTCCAGGTCCATGGCTGAATAGCTTTGGATCTAAGTCTACTTTTCAACCACCACTGAACACACCCTAATAAAATTCCCTTTCTAAATTTCCCCCATCACCTCTTAAATATTCCCACATCATTTCTAAAAGATGATTCCCGGTAATAAAGGCCATGGAATAGAAACAAGTATTCTCCCATAGTAAAGTCCCATTATAATAGCACAGAGAATCCTTTCGCATTCAGAAGGGGATGCTGGGCCTCAATTTTTTTGGTCAGCAGATTAGAGAACCACAAAAAGAGATTCTCACAACTCCCTGTTTCTCCCAACCCTTCCTGTTAGACATCAGGTATGGGCTGATTTAGGATTCCCCCCTAAATAATGTCTTTTGCTTGAGAGTACATGATTACTTTGAGGTCAGTGTCATCCCATCCTCTGGGAGGATCCAAATTGGGATTTCATTTGAATTTAATAATAACAAACATTTATTAACAGGAACTGTACCCAAGACAGTGTTAGATGCCATATATGTGTGCAATGAACCCTTGGCTTACATCTACTTTTTTTTTTATTATTTTGCACATGAAACTGCAAATCTATTATGTACAACTTGCCTAGGTGCTAACTTTTCTTCAAAGACCTTTCCAATTCTACCTCCTTCCATGAAGTACTTTAGTTCCCGGTGATATTTTCCTATCCCTAAATCACTACAGCACTTAGATACCACTTAGATTAACACTTAATTGTTCTCTAATTGTTGTCTGTATTTTATTTCTGTCTTCCCACCAAATTATAAACTCTTTCCTTGAAGAGAAAATAAAGGAATTATACTTATAGGTATTATCTCATAATACCTGGCACCATGATCAGCACACAGTAGGCATTCACTTAATATTTACTGATTGGATATCTGAACCCTGAAACAAAGTGGCTCTGATTGAATTAGAATAGAATGTGAAAACAACTTTTTGGAGCATAATGGGTATCAGCTCTCACTCCATCAAATCACTAGCACTAATATAAGAAGTTTCAGAAAAGTCTACACATTTATCCTCATATCACTTCAAAACTCTATAATGAAAAAAAATGAGCCAATTCAGGTTGTTGAATATTGGGGGAAGAAGTCATACATTTTGAAAAACTAAATACAATTTTTTAAATTAAATACTTAATAAGTCAGTGTCAATAACTAATTCAACCTTTACAATTTTCTTCTCTTGTGTAAAATTTAACTAGCTGTAGTTTGTAATACTTTATAGTAGTTTATAGCATGTTATAAGTTTACAACATTTTCTAAAAATTCTTATCCATTTTTACCTATATGATTACATGTTATTCAGATTTCATAGTTAAACATTCACATAGCACTTTAAATTTTGCAAAGCACTTTACAAGTATTATCTCATTTTATTTCCACAACAACCCTGGGAGATAGGTGCTGTCATTCCCATTTTATAGATGAGGAAACTGAGGCAGACAGAAGTTAAACAACTTGCCCAGGGTCACAAAGCTCACAAGCACTTGAAGTCAAATTTTAATAATAATAACAATAATAATAGCTGACATTGTGATAAGCACTTTACAATTATTATCTCATTTAGTCTTCACAACAAACCTTGAAAGTAGTTGCTATTATTATCTTCATTTTACAGATTGGGGAACTGAGGCAGACAGAGGTTAAGTGACTTGCCCAGTATCACACACCTAGTAAGTGTCTGAGGCCATATTTCAGCTCAGGTCTTTCTGATTCTAAGTCTAAAACTCTATTCACTGTGCCACCTAGATGCCAATTTAGAAGATTTAGAAGAGATACTTGTTAAACATTACTTGTTAAAAATACTTCTTAAATACTTGAAGTACTGAAGTTACTTAAAACATTGTTCCATTATAGAAATCTTAAGGCTATCTTCTATATTTGGAGTATCAAACATATCCTGGAACTTTTTTCATTTGTCCTTCTTAGTTCCAAAAGTATTCAATAACTAGAGAAAGGAATAATGGGATAGTTTTCCAACATTTTCCCTTGAATATACATATAATGATTTACATCCTCAGTAAAATTGTAAAATAAGGAAGTAAAGACCCAAATAAAGACCTACCTGGTACACACATTCACAGTCAAATGATTGATATCCTCTTTGTTATCTTTTACGGCAACATCTAAGTCAAAGGCTTCTTGATTTCGGGTGGATCTGCGCCTTCTAGAAGACTCTGAATTTTTCACATTGTAAACAACGTTGAGCTGAAGGAAATAAAAGGGGGAGGATGAAGAATGTTATGACCAGACATCAGGGATTACCAGCATGATTGATAAATATTTGATCATAAGAGTCTCTCAAACACTCAATTATGATTTGGAGATAATCTGCAAAGTGGAAAAAATTACTTTTATGGCCTAATAAAGAATGGCAACGTGCAATAATGGATAAAGAATTGTATTTAAAGTATGGAAGACTTAGGTTCAAATCCTACCTCTGACTCTTAGTAGCTATGTAATGACAGGTTACTCATGTATTCTTGTTGAGTCTTAGGCATTATCTCTTAGTAATTAGAGATGGGTTATGATCTTTCTGAACAGTTTTCAACCATACAAAATCACATACCACTGGTATATTACCTAAAGAAAATGCTGTTATGAAAGTAACTGTACATGTCAAGTCAATCAATAAACATTTATTAAGCATTGATTGTGTCAGGTAGGGCATCCAGGTGGCACAGTGGATAGAGTGCCAGGCCTGGAGTTGGGACGACCTGAGTTCAAATCTGGCTTCGAACACTTACTAACAGCTGTGTGACCCTGGGCAAGTCAACCCTGTTTGCCTCATTTTCCTCAGTTTGCCTCCATAAGCTGGAGAAGGAAATAGCAAACCATTCCAGTATTTTTGCCAAGAATACCCCAAATGGGGTCACAAAGTGTCAGATACAACTGAAACGACTGAACAGTAACAAGATGTTGCCTTACGCTGTCTCTAACTCATCTGCCCAGTCACAAGGCCTTACGAGGTGATCTTATAGTTTATTCCCCATAGTTGGAGATTTTACCACCTGTAAGAGCTCAGTGTTAACTACAAACTTTAGAGCTTTCATGATCCTCCCTTCCCTGGCGAGCGTTAAATGAAATAAATCCTCGAGAGACTTCATTATTTACACCCCTCTGTCATGACTAGTTCTCATCTGTCCCTTAAATCTTATATTCATTGGTTCTTCCTGGTCTACCTATTTAGTGATTCCCCCAATCAAACACTGGGAATTAATCAAATGTGATTTCTCATTGCAAAAACTAAGCTGACCCATTTAAATGTTTGGTGATGCCTACTCTTGGTTTTTTTTTTTTAATATTTCACCAGTTTGATGGGAACAGAAGTGGGAAATGTTATGTTCTTTATCCTCTGCTTCAAATTTAACCCTGTGGGGCCAAAGAGAATAAATCTAGTCCTTCAGACTCAAGGAGGACATAAGAGTTGTCTTCAAGCATTTCAAAGGCTGCCATATGTAAGAGAAATAAAGACATTTTTCTGTTTGTACCCAGAGGGCAGAACCAGCAACAAAAGGTAGAAGTTGTCAAAAAGCAAATTTAAATCTGATGAAAGGAAAACTTTACAAATAATTAAATCTGTCTCTGCAAGAGGGAGGGGACTGTGCCTCAAAAGATAACAGGGGAATCCTCAAGCAGAGTATAGAGGAACACTTGTCAGGGGTGATGCAGTGGTCTTCTTTGTCAGACGTGGGTTATACTTCATGGCACCAAAGGCCCCTTACAGCTAAGATTCAATTACTTCTTCCACCCCATCCCTTCCTATAAGAATTTAGCTAAAAATTTATTCAGCATCTACTTACATACCTTGCACTGTTACTTAGCAAAGTGTTCATTTGTAGTTATAAGTTAATAAACATTAATAGATTAATAAGCCCTATAAACAATAATAGGTAATCAATATTACAAATAATAAGTAATAAATTCACATTTTAACGTAGTAATAAATTTAATAAGTAATAAATTTAAATAAATGTAAGTAATAAATCATATCTAAATAATAATTAATAATAGGCAATAAACATTAATAGCTCATAAATATTAATAATTTATAAACATCCATAGGTTAATAAACATTCCTGTGGATAGTTTTATAATTTTGCTCTCAAAATCTTTCAAAACCTGAATAAGTAGTGTTGGGATTCAATGCTTTCCATATACTTCTTTATTGGTTAGATTTGGGATATTCCGTGTATTTACTGCTACAGAAACTAATACACCTGACCTGTGCATCCAAAGATAATAGAAATGAGAAAGTCCCCAATGTCTTTCTTAGTCAAGCCTTCCTTTAAATAGCCTTTTAACTATCTCCTTTTTCTCTGCTTATTTTACAAGATAATTATTAAGGTTTCATAATTGTTCGCCAGTTGTCTTCTTTCCTTTGATGGATAGATTTAAAGAATAAACATCTTTGTAAGGTTGCTTTGCCACATTCCTAATCTGCAATATTTCTAATTGTTTCGGACCTGTCATATTTGGTGGGCTTCCATTTCTTATTTTTTCAATCCCATTTTTAAAAAGAGACATTTCCCCATTAGAATGTAAGCTCCATGAGGACAGGTGTAGTCTTACTAATCTTTGTCTCTCCCCCATTAGCTAGCACAGTACTTTTTAGTGTGTATTAAACACATGCTTCTTGAATTCTCTTTGACAGCCACTTTGATTTTGTCAACAGGGAATGTGAGGTGTTGTATGGGTTTTATGTATTTTTTTCATACTTAGAGCACATTTTCTTAGGCTTCATATGAAATGTTTGCATGTTTGGATTTTAAGATTCCAGTTTTCCTATAATTACTTATTTTAATAATTATTCATTTCAGGTACTACAAATATCTGTGTTTTTTTCAGTTTCTTCATTTTAAAAAACTGAATAACCTATTAATGAATTCCTTCAATTTTTATCTTAACTACCAGAATGTCGAAATTAGTTATATGGTGCTCACTATAACATTAGTTTACCTATCGATATTTATTTTCTGTTTCATATTGTACTTTAACATACAAGTTAACCTTACTTTAGGCAATAGGGGTGTTCCTTCAAAATTGTACATAAAATGAACACTTGAATATAGAACATTTTTCCCATTGATTCCCCATTATAATTTCAGAGACATATTTCCACAGAAAATAAAATTGACCTCAATATATAGTGAAAATTACATCTAAAAATCTTATTGAAATTACATATAAAAATTTGTCTCTGACACAAATTGTGCCATGTGACTATGGGCAAGTCATTTAATTGTCTTCATGCCCCAGACAATCCTAAGACTGTAAATTGTAGACTATCTGCACCAACAAAATAAATTTTATTACTAGGAGTTCCCCAAATGATTTAATCACGGGTTCAAAACTCTCACCCCTCAACCCCCCCCAAAAAAAAACCCTAACTAAAAATATTACCACACATTATGAAACATATAATTATGATAAAAAGCTAAAATGGACAGTACATAACTAAAGTAAGTTATTCAAATGCATAATGAATCAGCATGAGGTTAATATATTCCAAAAACACGTATTTTCATACTAAAACAGGAAATGGGAATTAACCATGTATTTAACATTTAATGCCATCAAAAACTCCATTGGACTTTAATGCTGAATTAGTCATTGGTTGCTATTTCTCCAAGTAATCGGCAAAACTCACAAATAGAAATATTTACAAATTTTAAAAATTAAATTAAAAGCCATTTGTAATTTTAACCTAAGGTTATAAAAATGAATCAATAAGATTGTCTAAGCTGTCTTTATAAGACCTTCCAAAGAATCATATTAGAACAGTGGTATTTAACTAAACTTCTAATCAAATAATTCCATGAACATGTTAGGTTCACCCTGGGTTCTTAAGTACCACATCGATAGAATGCCAGTACTGGCCAGTACTACAGCAAACTGGAAAACTGTTGAGTACAGGCCTGATGACAGATCCCAAGCCTGTTATCCAAACTCCCATCTCGCTAAGTTAGAAAAACATCACCAAAAAGGGTAACCACTGGTTGAAGAATTTTTTTCTACTCTATCAATTAACACAGTCGTAGGCTGTATTAGGCATAAGGAAACTGATTCAATTAGAGGACACACATTCATCAATTAAGTAGTAACCAAAGTATTGACCTAAATAACTTGATTACATACCTGACAGAAAGCAAATCCAAAACCACTTGCTGAAACAGTAACTGAAGTTGGCTGTTGGACAGCAAGCTGAATAAAAGGAAGAGAAAAAAGAGTAAATATGTGACTATGGCCGTATCATTTATTATATAGGAAAACCCTAAAAAGTTCAAGGTTAGTACTACTAGCAAAAGTACAAACAGTTCATTATTGTCCCTCTTTGTCAGTTAAAAAAGAGTATACATACAATATATATGTTATGTTATGTATGTTACATAAGTTGTGTACAACTCCCATGACCCCATTTGGGATTTTCTTCACAAAGAGACTGGAGTGGTTTGCCATTTCCTTCTCTAGCTCACTTTACAGATGAGGAAACTGAGGCAAACAGGGTTAGGTGAACTTGTCCAAGCTCACATAGCTAGTAAGTTTCTGAGGCCAGATTTAAACTCAAGAAGATGAATCTTTCTGACTCTAGGCCTGGCACTCTATCCAATGCACTACCTAGATGCCCATGAATGTGTATACCTCTATATAAATTTATACACAACATATGAATGTATCCTCACATATAAATAGACACACATATTTGGGAAGAGCTAAATAACTAATCCTCAGCAAATGTACTTAACACTTTTTGAGTCATGGACCTCTCTGGCAGTCAGGTGAAGCCTTATGCTATAATAGTTTGTTACCTATATTCATAATTAAAGAAAGCGCTAAATTTCAACTAAAGGCTAAAGAAAACAAAGATGTGATTTTTTCCCCCATCCAAGGTCATGAACCCCAGGTTAAGAACCACCGATCTAAAGCACACTATAACAGGTAGGAAAGGAGAATCATCCCCTCTACCAACCAATCTTTGTGATGTCAACTGGTCTTCTTCGAGAACGAAGTTGAACAAGGTCCTGTTCTAACTGTGATTTCTGGCTGCCATCCCCTTATTTCATTAAGTGTAAGTAGAGGTAGAAAGGTCAATCAAGGTCTCTGGCAATTGACATTCTTCATTTAAAGTGCCCACACACTCTGCTCTAGACAAAGCACAACCAGGGATTTTATCTTCCTGTCCTGAATGGTGAGATGTCTCTCAAGCGTGGTGACATAATTCATTTCACACTGCACTTCACCCCATCCCTCTTTTTCCTTTTCCCTCACTTATTTTCCAGGACCCTGAGGCTATTGCTCCTCCTCCTCCCAGGCCAGGGTACAAGACCATATTAAAATGGGAAGAAAAGGGGAGCATGAAAGCATCTGATGAAGCCAGAGTACAAAGACTATATAATATGCTCCCTGAGGGCAAAGCTTTGCTGACTTGTTCTATCTCTAGTGCTTAGCATCATGCTGAATGAATAATAGGTGCTCAATATATGTTTGTTGGATTGCACTAGAAGGAATGGAGTGCTCTATGACCTCCAGCCAAAAAGTTCACTGCTGGTCTCCTTTGCCTCTCTTGGGTCATCTGCTTTCTTCTCTCATTATGACCATCTTCTCACTTAATCTACTTCTCTTTCCTAGTCTGGGTTCCTAAACATTCACCCATGGGGGGCACTCATGCTGCTTTTCTTTAACCCAGGGTCCCGGGTACAATATTCCATAGGTTCAACCCCTGTGTCCTATATTAACTTTTCTGAAATCTGCTCATCTATTTCATGATTGAAACAAATGATAAATTAACAAAAGAGAGAATTATTCCTGCTTAAAGTATCATCTACACAGTTTTAAATAATTTTCCAGTGGACAAACATTCCTCATTACCTACCTCTGCTGTTTGAAGAAGAAAGCGGTTTTCAGTGTTAATCAGAAACTCTGTTGGTGTTGTCACGCTAGGCCCAGTTACTGTGACTCTCATGTCTGTCTGTCCAGTAGTAGTGAGAGCTGCAAATGTAGATAAGGCATGCAAAGCCACAATGGTATCCTGGTAAGGGAAAGGAAAAAACGGTTTATAAAGTAAAGACACAACAGTTAAAGGAGTCTGAATTTTTCCCAATAACTGAAGGTAATGCTTACTATTGAATTGTGAATTACTTTTTTTTCCCTGTCAAAAATAACAATTACTAGGGTGATAAGACATTCCTTCTAGAAGTATATTAGATGAGAAAAAAGCTCCCTAGCTGATTGGCTACTTGTCTCCTATCACATCAGAGGTGGGAACCAGTCAGATACACCTGAGTCAGACTCTCTGCCCTTCCTATTAAATAACTGATCCAGCTGTGTCAGAACAGCATTGAAGAACTAAGGAGGTGATGGAGTGCCAGAAATAACCGGGAGCTTTTCATAGGACTTGCTTATGTGAGAAATCCTAAGTCTTAAACAAAAAGCATTTGTAAAGGATACAGACATGGAAAAGATAAACTGGGCCTCACCCCCATCAGGCCTGAATGTCTTCTCAGGACTGACAAGAAAATTCAATTTACCTTTAAAATGACACAAAATGTTGCTAACCATAAGTTATCATCAATTTTAAAAGTACAAAAAGACTTAAAGAATGATTTTTTTTAAAAAAAAAACCTCCTTATTCCCTCATCATAAAGCCTTAATTTGTTTACTTTAAAGCCATAAATAACTAGTCGATCAGTTGATACATATTCTATAAGAAACCAGATGTTAAATTTACCATATTGAATAAGGGGAAATGTGAAAGTGGAAAAGAAACACATAAACCCCATAGATACTTCTATTCATAAAGGATTAAAAAAACCCTGGTTTTGCTGAAAAATCTTAATTTGGAATCTCAAACCATGGAATCTTTATGTCCCTTCAAATGTAGACATCATGTAACTATAAAATGATGAGACTTGTCTTCAGATATGGCTAAGTAAAAACAATTTCCACTTCTTTATATTCATACAATTCCACAAAGCCAGAATCCTACCTATCAGAACAGCATGTAACAACTTTACACACACACACACACACACACACACACAACACACACAAACTTATATTCTCAGAAAAGGGCAATCAATAACTTATCATCTCTAACCTGGGTAGAGGAATAACCTCCAAGCCTATTTCTCTGCTTGCTTAACCACCTCATAATAGGCATCCCCTCCGCCATCCGATTTTGCAGGAAGTGTGCCAATAACGCATAGGCTGCAACCTCAATGTCCAAGGAACTCGGCTGCCAGGACTGAGAAAGTTTGGACAGTGATGACTCCCAGAACTGCATGCCTCCTGCCAGAGAACAACAGCATCAAGATATTCAACAACGGGTGAGGGCTGGATAATTAAGCCTATTTTCAACCTATGTATGCTAAGAAAAGTATAGATCTATCTACCTCCAAATAGAAAGGTGATGGACCCAGAGTGCAGAATGAAGCACATTTTTTTGGACATGACTGAGGCAGGAATTTGTTTTGCATAATTATAGATATCTGTAATGGGTTTTATTTTTCTTGTTTTTTCAATAGGTAGGACAAGGAGATAGGCGGAAAAGAATTCAGAAATGAAAATTAAATTAAATTAAATTTTAAACAAAAGAGAAAAGGATATGTCAGATGTAGTCAGTGTGTTGGTTGGTTTTGGTTAACTGGTTCCTCCCACTCCCCATTTTTTTTTAATCTTTGTTATAAGGTATGCTCACAAGGTAGAGGAAGAGGAAGGATATGTTCAGAAATGAAGGTGATTTAAAGACAAAAGACCAATTTTGAAAAGAAGAAAGCAATATATACTCTAGTCCAGAAGGTAAAGTACACAACCCATCTGAATATCCATTTCTAAAAGTACTTTAGGAGTCAGGGTGAAGTAATGGAAACAAACCAAGACTGAGCATTCTGAAACCTGAGCTCTCCCAGTTCTGTATTAACTAGCTGTATGAAGTCAGACCCTCCCTAAGCCTAAGTTTCTCCAAATAAAAAGGAAGGCCTAGATGATGGCTAAGAACCTCATTAGCTCTAAAATTCTGGAGGACTTAGCATGTTTCATTATTCAAAAGTCACAGTAATATAAGTTTAAGTTATAACCCCCCTCCTCAGTAAAATTTTCCATATGGCCCCAATCAGGTGGAATTCTCCTAAAAATTCTTATGCCACATACCCTGGAGGAGGTGAGGTTCTCCCTCCTTGGGGTTTCTCTTCCCATCCACCTCCCAAGCACTGCAGGAACTATTTGAATAGTATTTACATCAATCAGTCAGTCAATCATCCAGAGCTACATCTATGCCAAAAACAACCAAGTGAGTAGATCTTTCAGTTAGCAGAAGGAAGAAATAACAAGGATTATTTCTGCTTCTATGGAAACATTTGAGAGGTAGCCTCCTATAACAGAAAGTCTAGTGGACTTAGAGTTAGGAAGACTTGGATTGAAAACCTACCTCAAGGGGCAGCTGGGTGATGCAGTGTGTAGAGCACCAGCCCTGATGTCAGGAGGACCTGAGTTCAAATCCCAGCCTTTGACCTACTAACACTTGACACTTACTAGCTATGTGATCCTGAGCAAGTCACTTAACCCCAACTGCCTAAAAATTTTAAAAAAAAGAAAAAAAAGAAATAAAAGAAAACCCACCTCAGATATACTAGCTGAGTGACTGTGGAGAAATTATTTAATCATTCTGGGCCTCAGTTTCCTCATCTATAAAACAGAGGAAAGGGAGAGGGTTTGGACTCAATGGCCTCCAAGGTTCCTTCTAGCTTTCAATTTGTGATCCTATAATCAATCAGCCAATATCTAGGATAAGGTCAAAGATACTAAATAAAGAATAAATGTCTAGCTCCTCCCATATTTAAGCCTTCCCATTTAAGGAGAGCACTCAGGACAGCCATTTTATCATTTCCCACCTGGCTGAATTCCCCCAGACTTCCACATGCCCCGAATAGGGTAGCATCTCCTTCTTACCTTCCTTTTGTGGATTGTCTTCCTGCATTAGGTTGTAAGCTCCTTGAAAGCAGGGGCTCTGCTTTGTCTTTCTTTCAACACACAGTACCTGGTATATACAGGTGCTCAATAAATGTTTACTGTCTGACTGTTGTTAATAATGAAGATGATGTTTTGTGAAGTTTTACAAGTGTCTAACAACTTCATGAAACTATCTTTTATTTAAATTGGCAGAACTTAGAATTAGTAGGTATGATGTTTCCATAATACTCCTTTGGGCATATTATGCCCGTAGATTGATACTGAAATAATATATTTAGATTTGATGATATTCCAGTTGAAAGAGGATAGGTGAACCTCCTGAATTTAGAGAAGGCATGGAATAAAGTAGCCTATTGGGTGTATAACAGAGTAAATAGACTCTGTGCCACCTTGCAGAAGAGATATCAAATAATCAAAATGGTAAAAGCCATTTCAACAACATCAGCATATGTCAGCTTTAAAATCATTAAAGTAAGTATTGTTGTTGTTCAGTCAATTAGTTATGTCCAACTCTTCATAACCCCATTTAGGGTTGTCTTAGCAAAAGTACTGGAATGGTTTGCCATTTCCTTCTCTCCTTTTACAGACGAGGAAACTAAGGCAAACAGGGTTAAGTGACTTTCCCAGGGTCACACATCTAGTAAATGTCTGAGGCCAGATTTGAACTCATAAAGACAAGACTTCTTGACTCCAGGCCTGTCACTTTATCCACTGTGCTACCCAGCTGCCCCAAAGGGCCTTTAGAGGTCATCAAGTCCAAACTTCTCATTTTCTAATAATAATAACAGCTAGGAATTATATGGTACCTTAAGGTTTGAAAAACTCTTAATAATCTCATTCAGTCCTCACAATCCTGGGAGGTAGGTGCTATTACGACTCCATTTTACAGTTGCAGAAACTGAGGCACCAAAAGGTTAAGTGACTTGCCTAGGATTACACAGCCAGTAGGTAGCTAAGGAAAGATTTGAACCCAGGTCTTTGTGACTCCAAGTCCAGGACTTATCCACTACGTCATGCTTTCTTTAAGTCTGAAAGTCCTGGGCAAGTTCCTTAATTTTCAAGCAGATCTGCAACCTGGGGTTCCCTACATCAAAGAAATCACAAGTCCACACCAAAACAGAAAATAATTCCGTACATAATAAAAGAATACACTAACCTTCATGTTCTGCTCTCTGGTTCAACATATCCAGAGCTGCTCTCCCTTCAGAACTTTCCACAGATGACAGCGCATAACTTATGAGAGCTAAAGTATAGTTATCTAAAACACCTTCCCTGAACTGGGACTCCAAAAAGTTAACAGACGATCTCATATCCATGGAGGCCTAGACAGACATGGAGATATTAGGGTACTAAAAATAACTTCTTTATCACATTTAAATAACAAACCTTGATGAAACTTAGGAATCTGACACATTATCATTTTAAAACAGTCATAACTAGCTTTTTACAATGACAAGTAATTAGGGCCTTGTCTTCCAAAAGAAGAAGGGCTTCTCCAGCTAAGAGTGCTAATCAGAAGCAAGGTTTGGGTGTGTGCTTGGGGAGCATAGCACATAATTCAATTTCAGGAATGAACATTAATTCAGGAGACGAAACTATCTATCACACCTCATGCAGTGGCAGCAAACTAGAAGGTGATCAATGATCCAGGCCCAGCACTGTATCCACTGCACCAACTAGTAGCCCAATCACAAATGTATCTTTTTATAAATAAGAAAATCATTAGCCAAACAGTTGGGAAAATGTTTTTACCAAAGTAGATAACTTTCATTTAAAAAAAAAAACCTCTCCCAGTTAAGTGATAAAATATCCATTAACTTATTAATGGCATATCTTTCAATGTTTGCATAAGTTTTATTTTTAAGAATATAATTTACAGAACTTCTTCAGATATTCCTGACAAGGACCTATCAAGTAGATTGTTGGAACATGGAAGCAAAGGAGTACATGTTCAAACTGGGTTCCTTAGATGTAGTTTTAGAAAGCAAAGTAACTGGGTCTCTGGGTCCTGAAACATCCCTTCCTTTTTATTTCACTTACTCGAATACAGGGGGCCATCTCCAGTTGTCCTGATCTATATCTCGCCACTGGACCCAGATGGCTCCAGAGGAGAAAGTGAGGCTGGTGACTTTGCAGTGAGAGAGCCCTCTCTCACTTAAATCCAATTCACTCACAAGTCATGGTATCATCTTCCTGACCTCATGGCCCTCTTTGATAATGATGGACAAACAATAACAACAACAAATAAAATACAACAAAAAGTTAAATACCTGGTACTTCTGATAACCTAAAAGGGATGTCAGAATATAGGCTGTAAGGGTAACTGGACTGTTAGTGCCACCTTGAAGGTCACTATGGATCACTCTTCCTGGTTCCCAGAATTCACCATTGGGTCTTTTATGTTTCTTAAGCCAGGAATATGTTCTGTGTAACACATCCTGATCAATATCTATGTAAGGAGAAGCTTGAAGAAAACATCTTAGGACAAAAGCTGATAACCTAGATGAGGGAAAAAATAGAACTTTTAAAATGAACTACATGTTATAAAACCTTCCAAATATCATTAAATAAGCAATGAATGATTTCTCCCACACAGAATAGAATAGAGGGATGAAAAGATAGTTGGGGGAAGGAAACAAACAGAATGCACAGCAAAGAGGAAAATAGCAAAGGAGCATCGCTGTGGATGCCATGGGAACCCATGTCCTACGAATCCTACAAATCTATATCCTAGGTCCTCTAAGGAGAAGTATAGTTACTATCTTCATTACCAAAAAAAAGAAATTCATTTTTGAATTAAATTCATACTTCGTTTGTGAAATATTAGAAGTATTTTTGGAGGAAAAACAAAATTATGTATTCTATCTTATATCTGCTGAAATCAAGTAGAGCGTCCAGTATTTATGCCCCAGAACCAAACTGTATTACTTTTTTTTTATTATAGGAGTTTAATCAATCATTATGAATACTTACAAACAGGGGCAATCTGGGGCAGCTGCCAGACAATTCAGTGCATCCCTGCAAAGACTCCCCAAAATCCCTGTGGTAATTATAGAAATCAGACAAAGAGAGGAAGAACCACAGAGTGCTTCACTGCAAACTGGTGGATATTTTGGGTTTTTCTGCTATGTTTTGGCTAACATTTTAGTTTATACTTAGTATTGAACCTGGTTCCCAGACATCTAGGTGTTTATCCATCCAGGTTGGATAAATGCTCAGGCACTCAAGGTTGGGAACTGGTCAGGTACCAGTCACATACAGCTCATACTACCTAAGTTATGACTTAGCGTCCAAATCATGATTTTTGTCTCTAAGTTATAATTTTTAACAGGTCACCATGTTTGGGCTTCTACCTTTCATAGAGTTTAACTTAATGGCTTTCACTTCTTGCTGTGCATTATGGCTTTTCCCCAGTATAGCTCCCACATTGGTCATGTCTGAAAATGTATGTCTCATTCAGTACTACTGAATGTAGTCTATATGCTGCTAGTTCCTTTTCTCTGACAGAAGGGAGATAGTATGCTTCAACCGTCATCTTTTGAAGTCATGGTTGGTCATTGTATTGAACAGAATCGTAGTCTTTTTGTAGCTGTTTTCCCTTCCATTATTGTGGTCATCATGTAAATTGTTCTCCTGTTTCTGCTATATCATTAAAGTTTAAATATAATCACATATAACTGTACAGAAGTGTTTTGCAAATAAACTTAATTTTAACTCCACATAAAAAAGCTTAGAATTTAAAGGAATCCTATAGTATAATGAAACATCCTGTTATTATATGAAAATTGCTCTTATCTTTTGGTAAGTTAAGATTTTTTTTAATATAAATTTATTTATTTTTAGTTTTCAACATTCACTCCCACAAGTTTTTGAATTCCAAATTTTCACCCCATCTCCCCCCTCCCCCCACCCCAAGAAGGCATGCATTCTGAATATCCCTTCCCCTAGTCTGTCCTCACTTCTATCTCTCTCCCCTTCTCTTATCCCCTTCCCCTTCTATTTTCCTGTAGGGAGGGATAGACTTCTGCACCCTATTTCCTGTATTTCTTCAAACTGTATTACTTTTGTATTACCCTTTGTACTACCCTTATCATAAATGTGATACAAAAGTATCATAAAACACTTTTGAAGAAAAACAAGGAAGGAAATATCCTCCTTCCACCAAGTGGCATAACATTGAAGAAGTGACCAATTTTACTCTACAAATTTCAGAAGACAAAGGGAAATGAGATACAGAAAAAGAAAAGGCAGTAAGATTCAGTATCTAGGCACTGGACTTGGAGTTAGGAAGACATGGATTCAAAGGTCACCTCAGCTAACTACTAGATGTACAAGTTTTGTCTCCCCGTTAGATCATGAGCTCCTTGAGGGCAGGGATTGTTTTCCGTCTCTTTTTGTATCTCATTCAGTTAGCACACAGTAGGCACTTAATAAATGTTTATTGAGTTAATGAATTTCACCTCTCTGAGCCTTAGTTTCATGATCTGTAAATTGAGGGAGCTGATTGCCACTCCCAGCTTTAAATGTATATGGGTACAATATGTACAACTGCAAAATGCACAATGATGGGTAAGAACCAGTAAATCATCCAGACACAACATCATTCACCCTGGGATCATTGGTTATGAGCAGGGCAGGGAGAAGGCATCATAATCAGCATTTTCCATTTTTATTTCTGTCTTCCAATAACAAGCCCAGGGGCTCATTCAATCACCATGGCAATTCTAACCAATTATTCCTTACTATCCTTAACAATATATTGAATTTTATTTCATAACAGAAAACTTTAAAGAATTCAGACAGACTATTCTATCCTTTTACTACATAGTCATTCTCACAAATTGTTCCTGTGAGATGTACAATCATCTCAAAGCATTCCATGTTGCTGTACCCACAATGAGAGAAATATTACTCATCTTCCAAAAAGATAAAAGTGGCTTTCTTCAGAAAGACCTTAGACTACCGCCTACAGGAGATTCTCCTTCAAAGTTGGGCAATAGTTCTGATGAAAACCAACCCATTGAGAAGTGTCTGCCAATTCTCAAGCATTTTCATCTCAGTGCAGTATCTGAATTATATGTTCCTGATCTAAGATATAAATTAATTTTGTTGGCAAACATACATACCATGTGCTCCCAGAAGGATCATCATTTCCAAAAGCACTAAAAGAACCATCATCCCTTTGGTACAGAAGTTCTCTTTGGTAGCCTGAAGACAAGAAAACAGACAAGAATGTTCATTATTATCAACTTCCTAGTCAGTATTTTCAGGCAGAAGAAAGAAAAGGAAAAGGAGTCAAATATTTACACAGTATATGCTACTGCAGATCCTGTGAGGGATATAAAAAAATTGGACTGTTACAATACAGTACTAGAAATAAGAGGGAGAGGGAGAGTATAATTAAAGGTTATAATGCATTAATTTAAAAATCAAATTATCTAGACATGTTTACTAAACAAGTTTAGATGGTCATATTTATGCTCAATTTTAAGTTTTAATTAAATATTTTTATTTAAAAACAATAATTTTGCCATAAAAATGAACACATCCCCTTTTTAACATCTTTACCCCTTCCCAGAAAGTTAGCTAGTAAAATTTAATATTAATGAAGTTTTCAATATAATGGATTTTTAAAATTATTGCTGATACTAAGAACAGAAATTTGATGATTAAGCTGATTTACTTAATTCTTTTCTTAGTCTTTACATTAACTACAGCAGGAAATTAGAATGCAGCAGAATGGGGGTAGTGAGTCACAGAAATACTAAATAATTTTCTCAAGTTTTTAAAAAACTTTCTTAAGATCACAAAGGTGCTTAACAATGGAACTCAGGACAAGAACCCAGGCCTTTGATTTACAAACCAGGATTTCATTCACCATACGGGTTCTCTTCAATGCCTTATAACACGAATGGCCACAATTGAACTGTGACTTTTGCCTTGTAAAACATGAAAATATTTTGGAATCCATGTAAACTATGGAAAATATCTCTGTAATCAGAATGACCTATCCAGAAAAAAAAAAAAAGAACAATATGCCCTCTAACGGCACAAATCCTATCAACAATTGTTGTTCCAAGTATGAGATATTGTAAAACTGGTCATGGGGATGAGATCATGGAGATGAGATCAGTCTTTGTGAAAATTACCTCTCAGGTGGCTGACCTCCAGGACTCTGCATCAACACTGCCACCAATCCTCTGCCAGACAGAGGCAGCACAAAGAAAACAAAATACTAAATTCTCCAGTTCTGAAGTAAACCTCCTTTGCTTATTTAGCTGGAATAGGGAATGTAAATGTTGAGCTATGATCATGGGTAACGGCAACTAGAAAAACATAACCTGGAGGAAACAAATTCCCTATCTACATCTGACTGCTGGGAGAATTCTGTATTAAGCAATATAAGTAGAGTAACTTTATTTCCCCTCTAAGTCAGTTTTAACCTATTGGTATTTATGGTGGCCAATTAATTCTTTGGGAAAAGTTAATCTACAAAGACACAGCTGATTCTGTTACTGCAGTGATATTCTAGGCTTAGGGCTCTAAATAGAGAAGAAAAAAAAATTCAGGGTAGGTTACAAAGAGGAAAAAACAATTTTCTACAAAAAAAATTAGAATTAATTTAAGTTTATCATAATCAATAATAGTTAACATTTACATAGCACTTTAAGGTTTGCACAGTGTTTTACAAATATCTCATTTTATCTTCATAACATTCCAACATTTTTAAGAGGTAGGCACCATTATTATCCCCATTTTACAGAAGAAGAGACTGAGGGAGACAGAGGTTAAGTGACTTGCCCAGGATCACATAGTTAATGAATGTTTTAGGCAGGATCTAAACTTAAGTCTTCTGGAATCCAGATCTGGCATTCTATCCACCATGCCATCTAGCTGCCAGTTTAGAGACAAAGACAGAAATAGAAAGACAGAGAGATGCACAGAGACAGAGAGAGAAAGAGACAGATAGATGATGGGTGGATAGATAGATATAGATAGATGGTGGATAGAGAAGATAGATGCCATCTATAAGTTTATATTATGAACATGAATTATTATTAAAATCTAAATTGTCATCATAGAATCTTAATGTTAGGAAAGGACATGAAAGGATATTTAGTTCAATAGCTCCCCAAATAAAGAATAATATCTACAACCTTCCCAACAGTTGGTCATCAAACTTTTCCTTGAGGACCCCCAGAAATGAGAAACCCTCCTACTTAACGACAACTCTAATTATTAAGAATTTTTTATATTGAGCTGAAATCTGCTCCCTCTACCTTCCAGGTCCTGGTGCAGCCCTCCAGGGCCAAATACAACAAATAAAATTCTTCTTCCACAAGCATTCAGGTATTTGCGGGGATATTGGAAAGGTAGCATGTCATAGAGAGAGTGAGATGGGAAGTTAGAAAGACCTCAGTTAACTCCTCTTTCTGCCATTTACTACCTGAGTTACCTTGGGCAAGTCACAGTCTCTCTGAGCCCGTTTCCTCATCTGCAAAATGAGAAGATGGGATCAAGTGTTCTCTAAGGTCCTCTCAGGGTATCCCAAAAGCTCTAAATATATTATTCCATAATTCCTTCTCTTTTTTCCAGCATAAATTAAACATTCCAGTCCCTTTAACTAATCCTCATATAGCATAATTAAAGTCCATCCTGGTTACCATCTAAAGTAAGTTTACATTTGTGTGTTATGGACTCCCTTGGTAGCCTGGTAAAGACTATGAACCCCTCTTAAAACAATGGTTTTAAATGAATAATAAATGAATAAATAATAAATAAATAATGAATGAATAAAGGGGGAAATGGCCAAGACACCTGAAATCTGTCCATGGACCCCAGGTTAAGAACTACTGTTATGGGGGGTATTTATGCTTGTTAATTAAAAAGAAGTTTCTCACTAACTGCTGCTATTTTTATGAAGCCCGACATAAATATATATGCTTTAATTTGACATTTATTTTCCAATTTCCAAATAAGCCATTTTGCACAATATCACAGTAAAGAATGGAGGCTACTATTCAGTGAAATATATGAATTAATAAATGGTTTGGTTACTTTAGTTGCTAATATTATTTCCAAATAAATTTGGTTCCTGGAGCCTACATTAATTACATTTTCACGGCAGGTCTGATCAATTTCTTCACAATCTATCAGAAAGGAAAAAGGTAGCAAATGGGGACCTTTATAAGTTCTTTTTCCTGAAGCACTTGTTGGATTTTTCATTCTTGTCTCAGGATCATTCTTTGATCTACAAAATGAGAGCTGTAAAACCTGCTCCTTTTTCTGCTTTTATTTAGAGAAAACAATTCACGTTAACTAAACACTTTTTCTGATTACTCACAAAATTGAGCTTCAGGTGATATAGCCCTAAGAATTAAATACCTGAGAGAAATCTTCAATTAACAGGTTAACTATCTGCAATAAAATAAAATTCATTTGGTTGTAATGTTGGGTGTTAGTGGAGGTTTGGGTTTTTTTTTTTTTCTTTTTCAACAACGGAAGAGGCCACTAGGTGGCACAGTAGAGCACTGAACCCAGTGTCAGGAAGACCTGAGCTCAAATCCAGCCTCAAACTACCTGTGTGACCCTAGTAAAGCATTTAAGTGGCACACTACCTCAGTTTCCTCAACTGTAAAATGGGGATTACAATAGTAGCACCTATCTCCCAATTAGATAATATTTGTAAAGTGCTTAGCATAGTGCTTGGCACAAAATAAGTGCTTAATAAATGCTTGTTTTCTTCCTTCCTACTTCACTCATTGATGCGGTAATTGTTTTGGCCTAAACACAATATGTTAAGAGTATTGCTCTCCTAGGCCAAAGAATGAATTAAGTGGGAAAAAAACACATCCAAATATCAGATTTAATAATACAATAATGACTCACCAAAGTCACTTTAATTTTTTTAAATGAAAACCAACCATATAAGGAATTTCAGAAAGTGTAACCAAAAATAAATAATTCAGTCTTTAAAAGGAGACAGATTGTTTCTGACCTAATATCATTTTACTTAATACCATTAATTTGTATGTTACTTTTACAATACATTTTAGTTCAGTGGTGTCCATAGAAGCCAGATGTAGTTCAGAGTTCCATGGCAGTTTTCCAACACCTCCCCAATCACTTCCAAATGTAGTCCACAGAAATCATATACCCCTAGCTTCCTAAAAAAGGCTGGAACATGTTTTTTTTTCATTTCTGTGGAAAGCTAATAAATTTCTTTCACCTCCATCCCTAACCTTTACAAGATCAATGAATTACAAAACACTCTTGTTCTGAGATGCCCCTAAACTTTTGAAAAGTTACCTTGGAGCACCTTAGCTTAAAAAAATAAATATTCTTATGAACACAAGTCATTTTTAGAAGAAAAAAGACACTGAGATTTGGCCCTTCATATGGCCCTTCTTTTACCACAAAATGAAGTTTCATTTTGCATATTCACCCCCTAACCTCTTTCTCCCAGAAGGTGGGTAGCATTATTCATTCATCAGTCCTCTGGAATCATAACTGATCATTGTTCAGGGCCACCATGAAAATTGTTTCTGCTTGACTAGTCATATTTGTTACAAGGATTTTGTTTTTCTTTTTTTTTTCTCCAGTAGAGGGAGAGGAGATGAGAGGAATAAAAATATTTTTAACTGAAAAAAACTTAATTTAAAAAACAAAACATTAAGGGGAAAGGTCAGAATAGCTATATAACTATGAGAATTGCTTATTTTAGAATTACAAATATTGACTAGTCATAGTTGCAGTTTATAAAATGTATTTGAAACATAGAGTTCACCTACATTGTTCCAAGAGTCTTGTTTAGTTTTATCTTTAGAAAAAATTATTGCAATCATAAATAATAGTCTCTCTCCTATTTCATTTAAAGCAACTCACCTAAATCCCTCCTGCTTGTTAGTAAAAAGTACCTTAGAGATAAACTATGAGATAGTCCCAAATACTCATGATCTATAAACCCTTAGCAGAAAATGTCATGCCTGTGTCTAGTGTCCTTTCAAAAGCAACTGTCTATATATCTAAAATACAGAATAGTTTAAAGCTACTAAAACTTAAAACTACACTGACAGTTTGGGGGTAAGCTAATTGTGTCTTGATCCATATTTAAAAGATTCCACTTCATGGACTGAAAATTAAACAGTTCAGAGGATACAAAACAGAAAATGGTGAGGACTTCTCCCCAGGGACTACAACCCTATACTTCGGCTGCAATTAGCAACCACCAGGACCTCCAGAGCTCCACCTCAGTCTGGGAAAGCTCCTAGCCCACGCTGGCCTACATAAAGCAGAACAGAGTTCCGTCCTAGGATCAACAATCACCCTCTGGCTGTACTGTTGTGGAACCAAATGATGCTACCAAAGCCTTTAATATTGCTCCTGATTTCCTTGTTTCAGATCCATTCTCCACCTGCTCCCTCGTGCTTCATTTGATCTTTGGTTCTCAATCCCTGCTTATATACTCACATGCTGCTTCCACCTCTACCATGTTACACAGATCTGTATATGTCAAACCTGGCATTCAACAACCTGCTATTCACTACAGAAGGGACTTCTGGACTCATGGTACTCATTTGCTTCCTCTCTCTTTTTATATTATATTGCTCCACCTCCCTGGCTCAAGTTATGATCATACACATGTCCCTGGTCTAGCCAATTGCTATCTACAACCCAGAGCTAACACAAACTTAAGACTTGATGCCACAATTCCTCTATGAATAGGATTCTGTTTAGGATAAACGAAAGCATGAAACAGAAAAAAAAAATACAAAAAGGAAAATTTAGAAAGATCTTACATCCAACCCTGGACCTTTTCATACAAACTCATGAGCAAAGCATGCAAAGCAATACTTTTGCTTCTTTGCTCCATTTCCTTTTCATCCATTCCATTCCACTTAATAAACCTGTGTTAATTCTGTGAATTTCTGGAAAAGGAAAATTTCTACCTGGTTAATCTTGAGCCTTGCCTTTAACACTCTGTAACTACATGATTGGCTGTCAGATATGACTCAGGCCTGGAATCAAACAGAGCTAAGGGAGTTTTTCCCCTGTTATATGATAACTATGTCCCTCTTTTTCCTTTTATAGTATATTTCTGTAATCAAGAAATTTTTAAAAATCATATTCCAAATGAATGTTCCTCATCAGCCTTAAAGGGTCATTCCAAATGAGGGAATGTAAAAGGAATTATTATCTTCATATTGATAGGATGTGTGTAACGAATATACTAATAATTCAGATTTCTCAAGCACTGCCTCTTCTAGTTTGTGAGTTAAGCTCACAATGCAGCTTGAAATGATCAATCAAACCCTTGACAACACTCCAACAACTATTATATTCTTGTGCCTGTTTACCTTAAGTGAAGCGAATCAAAGATTGTAGAACCTGTTCCCATCACAGAACTCTCTGGTCCTGTGACCTACCAAGTAACAATCCCCAAAGACTTGAACAATATTGCTCCCCTGTGACTCTGAAATTGTCGTATTGTCTTCTACTTGTAAACTTGTCTTGGGAAACTGCTCAAGCCCTGGAAGCAATTGTTTATAATCCAACTTCCCCACTCCCTTCCCATTGTGATTTATGTATACAATCTTTGTCTTCAGCTCAGCAAGGGGGAATTCTGATTAGCAATTTGTCTGTTTGCTAAAATACTGACCTTGCCTCATAAATGAGATGGCTTTGTCTTTCACACTATCTGTCAGTTGTCTTGTGTTAGTCAAGTAATTCAAAATATAAATATTTGGAGCAAAGTTGATCATATTCTGTTCACCACAGCCATAGGGCATCCGAATCAAGGACTCTAAACCATTGATAGAAGGCCCGAGAATATCTCCTGTAAAGAAAAGATTGAGTTCATGTATGGGGCCATGCTATAAACACTTTATAACTATTAACTTTTTGATGGTAGATTTCATTCATATAACTAAAGAAGAGAACTAAGTATAACAAAAACCTGAAAATGAAGGAATACAGCAAACTATATCAGCTGCTCCTATACAAACCCTATAAGAGGAAAAATGAATTCAAATGAATGAACAAAAGAATCATGATGGAGAGTTACAGGGGGGAAAAAGACATAATGGAGACATAACATTTTAGAGATTGAATTTCATTTATTTTAAAATGTAAATAGTTGCCAAACAAGTTTAATTGATTATATTGCTCTCCTTTTAGTTTACTCGTATTAATCACCATTAGTTTACTTGTATTAATAATAATTAATTAATTAACAAGAAGAAATGCTCCAAATCACAAATAAGAGAAATGAAAATCAAAGCAATTATGAGATTTCACCTCACACTGAGCAAATTGGCAAAGATGACAAAGACTGGTGTGGTAGCCAACGTTGGATAGGCTGTGGAAAGCCAGGTACACTAGTACACTATTACCAAAACAACTGAAAGAGCTCCTTCTAATAAAGACAATTGTATAAGTTTATAAACTGGGCCCCCAAATAAAGACATTGGTAGATTTTTCTAGAGGACCAACCCTTCCATTATTAGACACATTTGTTATTGTTACCATTTTGCCATACCAGCCTCGGGCCAGGGCATGGTTGCTTGAGATTTACCCCAGCTTTGCCCTTCTCGTTACTGCTTCTGCACAATTCCCCCATTACATGAGAGTTTGGAGCATATGTTCTTTATTGCTACCTTCCCCACTGCATGGCATTCCAACACGATGGAGGATACTTGGACAAATGGCTCCCACTGAATGGAAAACTCAAAATTCTACACAACACACTTATTCCTTCTGAGAATTCCAGCTTAAACTGGATGTTTTTGTTTTAGTTTTAGTTTTAGTTTTCAGAGGACAAGTGGGGAACATACGGAATAGAAAAATAGAAAGGATGGTTACCCTGATAGATGTGAATTAACAGAGTTCCTGAGACAGTAAAACAAAGATGTTTGTCCCAGAGCCTAAAATCCTGGTGGCCTGTCACTGATATTAAATTCAGATGTCATTAATTAAAATTTTTCCTTTAGCCATGTTATTCTATTTGTAAAACACAGCTGTATAATCACTATTTGGAGAAAGGTTATGCTTTCACATTGACCTAAATATTATTTTGATGCTAGTAGAAACTGAATTAAAAGGCTGCAGTTCTGTGTTGCCTGAAGCCTATGGGAAGATCCCTGTGGTCTTGACTACTTGTGTTCTAGAGAACACTGCAGTGAGCATTTAACACCTGGATTTCTTATGACTATAGGAAATATCAAGAGTTTAGAGTTTTGGTGGCATCTCCTTCTGATCCCATCTATTTTAAGTCTCATAGAAATAAGAAAATTGCAAACTTAGAATAAGTTAAAATTATTTCCAAATAAAACCTCAAGACGAGGTTAGATGTGTTCATAATCTGAGCTGACTGTAGTGTTTCTGCTCTGTTTAGCACCTACAAGCACTGTGAGAATACAGTAAAATGTTCCATTCTATATTAGCAAAACTGACTTTGTTTTTACATAGTAACTTTCTCTTGAAGAACTGTGCCACTGCTACCAAAATCATCTTCATGATTTTCCCAGAAAGACCCAAGTCACTCAGGTTCCAAAACAAGTCAGAATCTGCGATTGATCAGAGTTTTTTTCTATATACTAAAGATATTGCTTCAATCCCTCCCTCTAACTTACTAAATCATGGACACATGTCATCTATTATCTAAGTAAGATGCCTTTTCACACTACAGTCAGAGCTCAGTAGAGGCTGATATCATTTCCCCCCATCTCCTAATAGGGACTAACAGGGAGAAAAAATCTATAGAGCTACAAGCATAAAAAAAAAAACACATAAACCAATACAATATATTCTTACCAATAGCAGTAATGTGGATTCTTTCACTACCAATCACCCTATCAGGAGGGAAGGTGAAGTTCAAAGTTTGGTCTGTAGTTGATAATTTATTGCCAGTCAGGTCCAAAAGGAGAGACTGTGAATATGATTTCTCTATTCCTTCAGCCTAACAAGATAAATAAACACAATTAATTCCATATCCATTAGCCACTTATAGAACTGACCTAGTTATAAATGAGAATACCTAACTAGTTATACAGTATCTTAAATCATGCTTTAAATAACCAGGCATTTGTGGTGACTATTTGTAATAATTCGAATAATTTACAAAACTCCTCACAGCATCACCATGAGGTACTATGAATATGATTAATCCTATTTTACAAAGCAATAGACTGAGGCTAAAAGGTCCAGAGCCTTGCCCAAGTTTACACAACTAGTAAATGAAAAATCAAGACTCAAATCCAGGTCATTAGAATGTGAATTGCTTGAAAGCAAGGAACATCTTTTGTCTGTCTTTTTTTTTTTTGTATCCCTAGTGCTTAGCTCTAGTGTCTGACAAGTAGTAGGAACTTAATAAGAGTTCACTGACTAACTTGCTAATTGACCAGGTCAGTAGACTCCAATTCCAGAGCTCTGTCCATTGTACCACATGTTCCATCAACTTTCTTTCAATCAAACATTTCTTAAGTACCTATAAGTGGTAGGTATTGGATTGGAAGCTGAGAATAAAAGTACAAAAAATAATAATAATTCCTACTTTCAAAGAGCTTGTGGTCTTTGAAAACTCTTCAAACAGAGAAGTGCTTTCTAATTAAGTAAGGAAGAGATAGTTATATAATTAGAATTCTTTCAAAATCACTTTCCTATTTGTGTCTAATGGTAGCCATCTCTAGGGTGGTAGGTGGGAGGAAGGGAAGAAAACAAAAGAAATTTACGTGATAATTTTGTTGTATATTGGAAAGGAATAGCAAATTATGCATAGTAGATTTGCAGTTTCATACCAATCATCTGTTTTATTGTACTATGTTATAGAAGTACTTGTTTTATTCTATAAATTAAAAATAAAATTTTTAAATGAAAAGAAAATCCCCTTCCAAAGGAATAATTGGAATTTTCCATAATGAGTCATCAAGCCTAAAAATAACAAAATAACTGAGTGTTTAGCTCCTGCCAACAAGCATTTCATTCTATCGTTATTTGCTCATATAATAAACACTTGTTGAATATCTATTACGTATATGGGGACTGTGCTAAACACTGGTGATATGAAATCGAAACCATCCCTGCCCAAAATAGACATGGACACAGTTAACTAAATGCAAGACAACTGAAGACTGAGAGAGCACATTTGTGCTCCCTGAGGTTGATTCCTAGGAGATCAGGGAAGGCTTCACAAAAGAGATGGCACTTGAGCTGCCATTTGAAGTTTGGTGAAGATGAGAAAGAAATGTATTTCAGTCATGAGAGATCACTTGTGCAAATGCCTGGAGGTGGAAGATAGATATTTAGTCTGGGGGATAGCTAATAGGTCAGTTTGACTGGGACATAGAGTGTATAAAGGGGGAAAATGTAAAACAAGACTGGAAATGTGGGTTGGAGCCGGACATGGAGGGTGTAAAATACCTAGCTAAGGAGTTCGTATTGTTCTTATGAGTAATAGGGAGCCATGGAAGGTTTTTTGAGCAAGAGGGTTGACAAAATCATACCTATGCTTTAGGAAGGTTGTTTGGACAGGTGTGTGAAAGATGGATGAGAGGAAGAAAAAAGCTCTAAGCAAGAATATCAATCAGGAGGTTATTATAATAGCCGGAGTTAGAGGTGATGATGGCATGAAGCAGTGGTGGGGAACCTGCAGCCTCCAGGCCACATGTGGCCCTTTGACTGAATCCAAACTAATCTTCGCTCTGTGAAGTGTGGATTCAGTCAAAAGGCCACACTTGAGGACCCAGAGGGCCACATGTGGCCTCCAGGCTGAAAATTACCCACCCTTGAGTCTAGGCCAGGTAAATAAAAAGGAGACAGATTTAAGAAATGTTGTAAAGACAGAATCAACAACACTTGGCAATTGATTAAAGATGCAGAGTGAGGGAAGCAAAGAATCTAGCATGACCCTGAGGCTCTGAAGCTAGAATTACCAGAATGATCAATCAATAAATCAATCAATAAATATTTGTCAAGTGCTTATGATGTGCCAGATGCTTTTGTAACTTCTAGGGCTATAAGGATGGTGATAGCCACAAAAAAAAAGGGGGAATATTTTTGTGAAGAAAAAAAATGAAGAGTTCAGCTTCAGACATACTGAGGTTTTTTTTATACCAAAGACAGGAAATGATGTGGGACTTTGATTCTTGAGAGAAACTAAGAAAAAATATATAGATTTGAGTTATCTACAGAGCAATGGTTATTGAACCCAAATTAGCAGATGTGATCAGCAAGCAAAAGAGAATGAGGAAGGAAAAGAAAAGGGGAATCGAGAGGTAGGAAGAAGAGAGGAGATATAAAAACAAAGCTCTGGTAATACCCTTGCTTAAAGGATGGAGAAAAGATGAGGAACCAACAAAAGAAGAATGAATAGGTGCAGTCAAGTGATATGTAAAAAGGATAATCAGGAAAGAGCATTATTACAGAAGTCAAGGAAGAAGAGATTATATAGGAGGAATTCTGGGCACCAGTGTTAACAGTGACAAAGAGGTCAAGAAGGCTGAGAACTGAGAAAATGCCATTGCCTTTAGCGTTTCAGAAATAATAACAACTCACATTTTTGGATGACTTCAAGATTTGTAAAGTACCTAGAACAACCCTGTGAGGTAGGTAATTCTAGATTATTATCCATACTTTATGGAGGAGGAGGAGCCTGAGACTCTGGGAAATTTAAGGGACTTGTCCATACTCATGTAGTTACTAAATGTCATAGCCTATAGTTACTCAAACCAGGTCTGCAGATTTCAAGTTCAGTGCTATCCACTAGGCCATGTAATTTACTCATTTATAACCCTTGAGAAAGCAGTTTTAGTAGAATGGTGGCATAAGAAGCCATATTATCAAGGGTTGAGAAGTGAGTGGGTGATGATGAAATAGAGTCAGGGAGAATGAATAATACTAGAATGTTGGCAGTGAAAGGGATGAAAGAGTTACAGACAATAGCTTGAGGGGATTTTAAAGTCAAGTATTCATAATATAACATGTCATTGATGTAAAGATTTACTTAAAATAAGCTTTTTACACCTCTTCTTCCTACAATGTCTAATTTGAGATTAATCAAATTAATTCTTCATGTAGCCTTAAGCATACTTTAATAGGAGACAATTTTAATAGCTCTCAAATGCAATTGACTATAACAGACAATTGGTTATGGTCTTATTCCCCAACTAACTTTAAATGGGAAAAGTGCCAAACATTCCCCCAAAAAATTGTATTCCAGAGAGCAGCAAGTCATTGACTATAAGACGCATCAGAACAAAATTATTTTAGCTCTTTCCTAAGAATTTAATAGCTATAAAAATACTCTACTAACTTTATTTCCTTTTTGACAAAATATGATTTGTAACTGAATTAATCCTTCAATTACTTACCTTTACTAAAATGTTCTGGGTGATGGCATCAGAGGCGCTGAGAGAAATTGCTGTCACAGTGATTGGAATCTCTCCTAACTGCTTTGGTTTGATTGGGAAAAGCACAGTTCTCCCATCCTCACTCGGCACTAGTATGGACTGCTGATGTCCTGTGGCATTTACTTCATTTGAAATCATGAGAATATCAAACTTGTCACTTTTTTTGATGGTTACCATTACCTGCAAAATAAAATAACACATTTGTTTTTATATTAAAACTTTGAAGTTTCTCCTACCCATATTCATGAACTTGAATCAATTATAAATGCAGTTTCACAGCATCTAACACAGCCCTCAAATGCAGTTAATGAAATAAAGATTTGGTTTCACACCTTTTCCTCTGAGAGAAATGATTATTAATAATTAATGATTTGGGGAGATTCAAGTTCCCCCATTTTCTATTTCCAAGACCTCAGTCTCTGAAGGTTGAGCTAACCTTCTCCTCTATCTGACTCCACCCAACCTGACAAGGAATCTGTAGTCTGATGTAAATTCCATTCAATCAAGCTTGAGTGGAGACAGACCCTTTTATCTAAATTGTCCAAGACTGGGGTTATTCTGGGTATAGAGATAATCTGTCTGTCCAAGGGTGACATGATATCACCCTCAGCCCCTCATTGTAATATTCATTCTCTCATTAACTGTTAGCCAATCATAGTTGGCTCCCACCCTGTGAGCCTGATGCCATGATTATCTTTTGGTTTAAGAGAGACAGCCAAATTACCATCCTTTTATTAATAAACATGCTGGCCTTATTAATAAAATGATTAAATTACCCAGATATTATGTCTCTAAAACCTTTTTTAATCACCACACCTCAATTAACTTTAATGAGCCAATGTGCCTGCTCCCCTTCCATCCGTGAAGCATTACTTTACTCTTAATTAAATGTTTCTAAATCTGAATTTTCCAAAAGCTTTCATTCTTATTCATACAAGTGATACCAAAGATGATAAGAATGATAAGCCAATGAAGTGATGAACAAACACTGGAAGAAATAATAAAGCTAGGATAAAAGTAAAACATCCTATTGTTTGATCTATCTTTTCTCTTTGGCAGTTTCTACCACACTATTTACCCTTTAGCTTGATTTCTGCTGCCAAAGCAATATAACATTGTCCTTCTCCTATGTCATTGGATGGCTAGAATTTTTTTTATAAAAAGGCCTACTTTCATGTATGAATGCTATCATCAATATAATTTAAGCAAGCCTTTGTAAACTTTTGCATCACTAAGGGAAAAAAATAACTTGTCTTCATTCTCAATATCTTCCTCAAATGCTACTATTCATTTTCATCCATTAAAGTCTGGACATTCTCCTGAGCACTTCATGTCCCTTCAAACCCTCTCCAAGGCTAGTCATTCCTTTTCTTAATCTCCCTGAATCACTAGGACAGAAGACTGGCATTCTTTTTGCTCCCAATGCTACTCCCAGCCCCTTCTTCTTCCACCATTCTGCTTTGACATGCATGTCATGATATCAGCTTCTCCCAATCCTGGTTAATATAGAAAAACCTCCAGGAAAACTCTTCCATGTTCCTTAGTGACTTCAGCACCAAGTACTAGTGAAAAGTAAGGCTTTTTGGAGAGGAGAATCTTTAACAATTCAGTTCAAAAACATTAAATGCTTATTATGTGCAAGGCATTGTGAAAAGGCGAAAATCTGATGTCAAAGATCTTACAGTCTAACAGGGGAGAGGATATGACACATACAAATAAAAGTGACAAAAGGTATAAGATGATAAAGAAAAGAAAATATTTAGAGAAAGTTCTCTGAGAAAATCTAAGGAAAAAGAGAACATTTTGAACTGGGGAGGATAATTGAAGAGGCCACATCCTCATCTGAGCCACCCAGAAACAGGTATAGATGAAGAGGGAGTATGTTCTGGGTATAAGTCTTAAATGAAATCTTGGGCCAGCCCAGAGTAAAGCCACAGGGCAGAGCCTAGGTGTGTGTGCCCTGAGCCAATGGGAAATAAAATTCTGCTGTTAAAATTGGAAGAATGCGACCTCTGTGTGGCCCTCTCCTCACTACATGGCCTGCACAGAGGGAGTACAAACCAAAAGGGAAAAGGACAGCAGTCAAGCCCAACATTTTGTTTGATACGTTCATAGAAAGTAAACTTTAGGGGCAGCTAGGTGGTGCAGTAGATAGAGCTCTGGCCTTGGAGTCAAGAGGAACTGAGCTCAAATCTGGCCTCAGACATATGACATTTACTAGCTGTGGGACCCTGGGCAAGTCACTTAACCCCGACTGCCTCATCAAAAAGCAAAAAAGAAAGTAAACTTTCTTCTTGCAGAAAATAAAAAGAAAAAAGAAAAATGTCATGGAAATAGAATAGAAAAACGTAGATGGCAATTTATTCCAGGAAGGAGGAACAATTTAAGAAAAAGATAATGGAAGAGAAAAAGACATGTCTCAAAGATAGTGTTGCAATTAAATTTTAACAAAAGGGTAAACTGAGGCATATCTTCATGCAAGATAACATGTATTGGCAGGGGCACGCCACCAGTCACTAAGTGTGTCAATGGCTTGCCTTCATTAATGCCAAAGACCTCAAGCAAAAGGACAGTTCCCTTTATATAGGTTTCGGGGAGAACAAAGCAAAGCACAGAGCAGAATAGATGATATCATAGAATTAATGGCAACACAACTGGTTACAGAACTGAGGTGTAAGGAACAACATGATTGGTTAGAGATTTGGTAATGGGGACTAGCAATAACCCCACCCCCCTTCTTCTCTCATAAGACTAAGAAAGGCTTTTTATTTGGGCCCAGGTACAAGATGGCAGCCCAGACTTTTGAACAGCAAAACAGACATCCTTGAAGATCCTGGTGGAATATAGATATCAAGCGCAAACTCCCTTGCTTTCTCATACATTCTCCAAGGTCAGTTAAATTCCTTGAGGCAGGAGTGCTGGATTTGTTAACTCAATCCATTACAGGCCATCTAAACTCTGAACCAAGTTCAGAGACAAAGAACATTATTTAAGCAGTTACAGGACAAAAGCAGTTTCAGGACAAAATCAATTAATTATAAATAGAATCAATAAGAAAATGACACAGGATCATCTTAATCTTATCAATAGTAAGGAGACTGATCAAGCTAGAGTAAAGAAATCATGCTGGGAAGGAATGAAAGGGAAAAAAGGCTTCATGTGCATTATTAGTATTCTTAAGTATTATGAAACAGAAGCAAGTAACTCAAATATTCAATTCAGCAATCACCCAAAAACTTTTTAAAGATAGACCCAGCTAGACCCCTGGATACTAGGAACTTTTTTATTATCATTATCATCATCATCATCATTATTATTATTATTATTATTATTATTATTATTATTATTATTATTATTATTATGGCTAACATTTATATAGTGTTTATTATGTGTTAGGTACTGTGCTAAGCACTTTACAATTACTATCTCATTTGATTCTTACAACAATCCTGCAAGGTAGTTGCTATGATTATCCTCCTTTTACAGGTGAGGAAACTGAGGCAAGCAAAAGTTAAGTGTCTTGTCCAAGGTCACACAGCTAGTAAGTGTCTGAGGCCTCATTTGAACTCAGATATCCTGAATCCAGGCCAGGTGATCTATCTACTATGCTACTTACCTGCCTAAAACAAATTGCCACATTCATACACAAACATAGACACACATAGACATGCAAGTGCACATATATGGTCCCATGAGATATAAATGCTTAGGCTCCTAAAAAGCTTGAATACATTACCTCACTGGCATCTTTTAAATAATTGAATATGGTTACTTCCAAAACAAATTGTTCCCCTCTGATAACTGAGTAGGGAAGATTCAAAAAAATGAAAAATGGTTGAAAGGCTTGTAGCTGTAAAGGAAAAAAAAAGAATAATTTTTTAATGTAATGGAAAACAATCCTCCCAGTGACTCTACTATTACCTATATGCTTTCAGGCAAATCACTTCACTCCTCCAAGATCCAATTTCCTAATCTATAAAATAAGGAAGTTGAATGATACAACCTCTAAGGTCCTTTTCACCACTGAAGTCCAAGATCTTTTAATGTTGCATGAAGTATACAAAAAATGGTGACTTCATTTCTCATGAGACTATGTATTGCAGGATCACTGGTTACTAGAATCAACTACTTATTTGACTTAACCAAAGGAAAATCCAAACTATTTGTGGTAGTGGTATTGTCATTGTTGTTGTTGTTATAAAGAAATGTTCCTATTAAAATAGCATCCTGGAGAGGGTTTGAGGAATCAATTTATTAAGGCTCATGATACTACCACCTTGCATCTCTATTGAGTTACTCCCATCACCTCATTTAATCTGCATAACCCCCTTGTGAACTAACCTACACATTGAGGGTCCTGGTTGAACCTTTAAATGAACAACCTATTTGGTTACTGCCATTAAATTGCTTTCTTAGTGAAAGTTTACAGAGCTTTATGCAAGCCTTCTCCATTCAAGGGAGTTCTACATGCAAATACATTGTTTCCAGGGTGTCCTGGGGTGATAATCAGCCCTAGACATTATCATGGGCATTAAAGATCAAAATATGAAGACTGAAGAATTCCAAGGATTTTCTAAGAGCTCGCATTTGGCAACAGCTCAAAAAATTCTCTTCCACTTATTCCACTACCCTCATGTCTAGTTGTTTTATTCATTTAAACAAGGGGCTTGAAAAAAAATTGAGAGGCTCTCAGGATAGGAATGATGTTACTTCTATGTTACATCTGAGAGATGATGTTACTTTTGTTCCATTTCTTGCAGGAGTTGTTTGGACAGTAACCACCCTGTTCAGAGGGACCCAGAAGCAGTGCATTTAAACACAATATTCACTGGAATTCAAAATTGTGAAGACTAAGCAGCTTTTCTTAGCATCCTAAGAGGCATACCAGGAAGGTGTAGGAGCTATGAGTCATAGTTTTATTAACTCAATAAAGGATGAAGTTACCAGAAAAGTTATTCGAAATTTCTATACCTACACAATTCACTGTAGCTAAAACTCTGACATTATAACATAGACCTAGGTGTGAAAAGAATGTTCCAAAAATGGTTCCCCTAAGGCCCCTTATAAATTGAATCAGCCTAGTTTGAAGCTCAAATCACTTCCTTCAGCAATTTTGATTTTAAAACCCAAGTATAACAAACACACTTCCTGAATTCTGGTCTATAGAAATCTTGTCACTTGTCACCTAAAAGAACAGCTTTCTGGGTTGCTATGCAACAGAACTCAAGATTCTTAATAGGAATATTTTCAGCTGACCCCTATATACATGAAGCAACTCAAAAATCTTAGCGCAGTTTTAAGCTATTAAAATTTATAATTTAAGCTTGTTAAAGCTTAAAACTGTACTAAAACTTTTGGGACATTCTGTATTTGGAAGCAACACACTTATCAGTCAAACACAATAAACAGCATGAAATACAAGAGGGATAGAGCACAGGATGTGTGTAAATAAACAAATAACTACTGTCAGAAAGTCTAAGCCCCCATGAGTATCATAAACAAAACTAGAAATCTAGGAGCTTATACTTTCTTTAGCTTCATGACTCTATGACTTAAATAAAGGTGTCCTTAAATGTGCTACCTCCACTGGAGCAGTTGTCATTCCAAGCCCTAAGTCCTCAGAGATCACAAAGGCAGTTGCTACCCAGGAAGTGATGGAATCTGGCACAGTAACTTCAAATTGTCTGTCAGTCTGAGAACTAAAGTTAAGAACATAAAATTTCAAAACCAAAGTTAAGAAGAATATAAAATTTAAAAACCAAGCATTGGCTCTAACATTTTACATGTTCAAAATAAGTCAAGAGCAGTTAATTAAATTGAATAGGTAGTTAGTAAGCTCCTGATATGCAGTGCAATGGGGACACAAAGATGAAAAACTACATAGTCACTTTCCCTTGTCAAGTGCTTAAGCTATTTTCCCTGAAGATTTTTTTCCCCTCAGTTTGTGAGTTTAATTGCAAAATAATCCTTAAAAGCAACAAAAAACTGCTACTTAGTAGTTGTAAACCTTAAACTATTGGTCATAAATGAACAAATATTGAGTAGTCAATGAATAAATCAAAATACTGTATTTTAATTCATATTCCAATAAAAATATGCATTGAGTGCCTTCCAGATAGACAGACAGATAGACACATATTTTGTCTCCGTGTCTCTGCTTCCAGTTTTCTATACCTACAATACTCATCCTGTTTATTAATACCCATCTTCTTGTTGTTCAGCTGTTTTTAGTCATTTCTGACTCTTTGTGACCCCATTTAGGGGTTTTCTTAGCAAAGATACTGAAGTAGTTTGTCATTTCCTTCTCCAGATCATATTATAGATGAGAAACTGAGGCAAACTGGGTTAAGGTACTTGCCCAGGGTCACACAGCTAGTACATGTCTGAGGTCAGATTGAACTCAGGAAGGTGAGTTTTCCTGACTCCAGGCTTGGCATTCTATCCACTAGCTGCAACTAATACCCATCTACACCTGTTGAAATTCTACTTCTCCTTAAGCTGCAACTACAATGCTACCTACTTTATAAAAGCTTCACTAATCCCCTCCGTTTGAAGTGACCACTTTCTGCTCTGAATGCTCATCATGCTTTTCTTATCCTCTTATTGTGTCCTGCTTGGCATAATATTCATTTGCATGCAAATTATCTCCACTAATATACCATGACTCTATGCAAACCTAGCTCCCAACATCATCACTCAGGTGAAATTGTCCATTCCAACATCATCAATGATTTCTTAATCGCCAAATCTGATTGCATTTTCTTAATCCTCTTCCATCTTGACCTCTCTGTAGCCTCTGACTCTGTCGAATACTCTATTCTCTCTGAGTTTTCATAACACTGCTGTCTCTTGGTTCCATCTTTGCCAGTTGGCTAATCCTTAGCCTCCTCCGCTGAAAACTCATTCAGACCATACCCCATAAATGTGAATGCTCCCTCCAACACTGTATCCAGGGCCTTCTTTCTATATACTCTCAATGACTTCATTAGTTCCTATAATGCTCTAATTAGATGACTCTCGGATCTACAACCATAGTCTCTCTCCTGTCCACATAATCAATTGACTCTAGGATACTTTGAAACATCCTGTAGTCATCTCAAATTCAATATGTTCAAAACAGAACTTCCAACCCTATTCCTCTTCTGAACTTCCATCTGTTAAGGGTATCATCCACTTTCCAGTCATGGAAATTCATGAAATCAAGAGTACCCCACCTGAATCAACTCCCAAGACTTAAAACTGGTCCCCTTCACTCTATTTATACAGAAACTGCCCTAGTTCAGGGTTTCCTATTTCATCTCCCACCCTGAAGTTTCTCTACTCTCCAATCCATTCTCCACACAGCTGCTAAAATGATTTTCTTAAAGGGTAGATCCAACCATGGGCCATACTCAATAAACAATATACTTACTAATAGCTCTAGGAGCAAATACATACTCTTCTCCACTGTTTGGCATTTAAAGATCTTCAAAATCTAGGTCAAGTCTACCTTTCTAGCCTCATACATTACTCCCCTATGTTATAGCCAAACTGGACTTTTTGCTGTCACACAAGACACTTTATTTCCCATCTCTATGTCTTTGATATGCCTCTATGACAGACACTGGCTGTCTATCTTCCATTCCTAGAAATCACTTTGTCCTCCTTTCTATGTCTTAGAAATCCTAGTTTCTTTCAAAGGGAAGCTCAAACACTAGCTTGTACATGAAACCTTCCCTGCTTCCCCCAGCTGCTGATGCTTTCCTCCCTCAAGGTACCTTCGGAAGCTAGGTGGTGTAGTGGATAACGTGCTGGACCTTTAGCCTGGTAGTCAGTCCTAAGTTTAAATTTGGTCTCAGACATTTTCTAGCTGTGTGGTGCTAGGCAAGTCACTTAACTTTGTTCTACCTCTGTTTTTCATCTGTAAAATGGGAATCATAATAGTACCTACTTCCCAAGGTCATTATTAAGGATAAAATAAGATAATATTTATTAAGTGCTTAACAAATCTTAAAGTATTAGATAAGAATTATTGTTTTTACTTTCCATCCACATATATGTGTATGGACATATACAGACACACATATATTGTCTCTCCAATAGGATGTAAGGGCATTGAGGACAGGAACCATTTCATTGTGTCTTTACATCTCCAGTTTTTAGCACACTGCCTCAAACAAGTTTATGCTTATTGATCAACTGAGTAACTGATGGCAAAGAATGTGTCATTTATTTTTTCATCTAACTCTTAGCATAGTATCCTATACAAAATGGGCACAAAATAAATGTTTACTGTTGTTCAATTAATACATTCAAAATCAACAATATTCTTATGTACCTTATCCAAGAAGTAAATATTTAAGAGCTTCTTTCTCTCCTAACCTGTATAAAAGTATTCTCTTTGTCTGTATGGACTTCTACTAATTCTGTCAATATTAATATAATCCAGGGTTTGGCAAACTATTGCCTATGGGCCAGCCCTGCCTGTTTTTGTATTACCTATGAGCTAAGTATGATTTTTACATTTCAAAATAAAAATAAAACTTTATTTTAAAATGTAAAAAACCATTCCTAGCTTGCCCAGGACAAAAGCCACAGGCTATAGTTTTGCCAACCCCTGATGTAGACTATTTTCTTGAGGGTCTGACCTATGTCTTTTTTTCAGTCCCCTCCCTACCTCCCCTCATAATCCCTACCCCCAAATCCCTCCCACCCCATCCTCCAACCAGCTGAACACGAGCTACTGCATGATCCCCAAGCCAGAGAGATCAAGGGGTTGTCAGAGCTGAATGTTTTCAGCCTATATGATAGTTACTACCGTCTCCCCAGCTCATCCCTTGAGGAAAGTCATAGTAGAGAAAGAAGGACAAGTACAGCAAGAAAATACATTTGGTCTCCTATTAAATAACTAGTATATTCCCCCTTTAATCAGTGTATAGAACTCATAGCAGCAATGAATTCATCAGCAAATTTAAGATGAGGTAAATCAAAATTCTGTTGTTTTTCAGTCACTTCAGTCATGTCCAACTCTCATAACCCTATTTGGAGTTTTCTTAACAAAGATACTGGAGTGGTTTGCCATTTCCTTCTCCAGGCTCATTTTACAGATGATAAAACCTAGGCAAACAATGTTAAGTGACTTGCCCAAAGTCACTGAGTAAGTGTCTGAGACCAAATTTGGACTCAGAAAGATGAGTATTCCTGACTCCAGGCCCAGAACTCTTATCTACTGTGCCACCTACTTGCCCAAATCAAAACTAGCTCTTCAGAAAAATTTTAGTCCCATTTTCTGTCTTGATCTTACCTAGAATATTCCCACATGCATTAGACCTTAGTAAATACGATTTCATATTGCTAACAATGACATAACCATCAAAAATAAGACATTCTATCTAATTTTTAACATGATTCACACTATACACATTAAAATGCACACAAAAATAAGCTCATTCTGAATAAAATTCTAAAAAAGAAAATAAAAAAGTCAGAATTTTGTGAGCTTTTACCCCATATTGGAGTCCATCCAAAGCCAAGTCTCTGGAAAATGTTTTCTGATAGATGGACCACTGTCCCCTGGAAATGCGCCTGCCAGAGCTAGATCCATGTCATTTCCATCATTTTTCAACATAACTGCTTCGCTTCCATCATCCATGTCAAAAAATTCTCCATTAACTAAAAACAAATGTTTTCAATCATTAGAAAAAATCACTGAAGGAAATGTATAATTATTTTATTATAGCTATTAGTAGAATCACAGAGTCCTAGAGCTGTAATGGACTTTAGAAATTATCTATTCTAACGTCATCACTCCAGAAAGAAGAAAACAGAAGCTCAGAGAGGGGAAGTGACCAGCTAGTCATGGTGGCAGGGTCAGGAATAGCTAGAATCCTGATCCCTGGGCTTCTAGTCCAGCGTTTTTTCCCATCAAAGTGTCCTAACAGGCCCTCACGTGCAAGATTTTTTAAAATTCATGCAAGAAAAATACATACACAAAATAAAAAATCTGTCTATAATTCAGCAAGATTACAGTAGTATATATAGCATATATAATTTGTATATAGTTAGTGATAAGTTAAATTTTCATTTTTATATAGGAGTAAAATATATAAAAGTTCAGAATAGCCAAATTAAGAAAAGAAATGGAGAAAAATTAGAGTTCATAAAGATAGTCAATTTGAAAAAAATGCAACTGTTTTAATATGTGAAATTAGCATAACTTAATATAGAAGAATTTTCAGCCTTTTTTTGTGTCATGAGTCCCTGGCAGTCTGGTGAAGCTTATGAACCTTTTCTCAGAATGTTTTTTAAACACATAAAATACAAAGGAAACCAATTATAATGAAATATAGCTATCAACATTATTTTTTAAAAACAAGTTTACAAATCCCAGGTTAAGAACCACTGCCCTAACATAATATATGGGACTAAATGTTCCTAGTTAACAGAGATAACTTTTAGACTTTGAAATATATCTATAAACAAAGACCAAAAGTACAAAACAGCTTTCAGCTGCTCAGGAACAGCTTATTTATGATCTGATGGTTTTCTTGGTCTCTATTAAGAATCCACAAAACCTATGGTTAAAAAAATGTATTAAAAGTCTTGATTGGATTGATTATGATGCACAAGACCCAACAGCAAGTTCAGACCCTCCTTCCCTGTAGTTCTTAAAAAAAAAATACTCCAAAGACTACCTCTTTTCACACCTTGAGTAGCAGCAAGTCAGAGTGCCAAGGCGAAGAGCCAGGATCAGTGAAGCAGTTAAGGATCAGGCTGGAACTGGGAAGTCAAAGCAAGCAAGAGGTTAGAACCACGTGGCTCAGCAGAAGTCAGAGCATTTATCAATAGTGAAGGTCAGGGCCAGCAGCAGGTTAAAGGTTAGGCAGATAGAAGTAGAAAGTGATGACAGAAACACTTAAGGCATAGCAAAGCTGATGGGCAAAAGTCCAGGGAAATTTGGGAACCAAGAGGTTTGCAGGAGCTGAAAAAGCAGGGCAGGTAACAAAACAGACTCAAAGTAACAAAAAGGAACTTGGGAACTGAGCCAATCCTTTTCCTTATCCCAAGGACTTATGTAAGCTTTCTGTGAAATAAATTATTGGCAGAGCTATCCAAGGACCAGCCAAGATGAAATTAAGACCCACAGTGAAGCCAATGCACCTAAGTGAGAAGGGGGCATGGCTAAACACACTGCTGCCATTTAAATTGCTGTCATCACCTCTGTTCTTCTATTGAGGTGCCTTTCATAATTTTTTTCCTGACCTGCTCCATGGTGATGGCCCTTTCTGGAGTTGGACAGCTGATAAATCTTCATGACACCCACTTTGTTCACTGGGTTTACTCGCTTCTTCTACTATGGTGCCCTTCATAATATTTTTCCCATCTTACTACATGCTGATGATATCTCTGGGGCTGGACAGTTGATAAATCTGACACCCACCTTGCCCACTGGGTTTGCTTGTTCTATAAACTCTGGTTTTACTTAGCAGAATACTCAGCTTACTCTTTCAGATCATAACTTGGGCTCTACTTAAGGGCATTTCTCCCTATTAATTATCCCTAATCAGCATAGAAAGTAAAGTCCAGACACTGCATTAAGATGATACTGGTGTCATATTTCCTCATGGCAAGCAGAACTTTTAGCATTAGCCCTTCTAGTCTTATAATTTTGTACATTTTTCAGTATTAATCAAGACATTTTATAACCTCTACTAAAAAATGTATCTTGTTTTGTACTAACTAAATAAATTCCATTAGCTTACTTTGTTTATTCAAAATCAATAAATATGCAATCCATACATATACCTGGCTCTTCTGGCATCATAAACAACACTATAAGGAGCATGTGAACTTTGAACAATTAATATTTGTTATAGGGCATATGAACTTTGAACTATTAATATTTGTTATAAGTATTAATAATTCATTTATAGAAAGAGAGCTTGTTGTTTTTAAAGCTCTTTTCTGACAATAATTCCAAGAGGAAAATAGCTTAGCTCTTATTATCTCTACTTTTTAAACAAGGACACTGAGAGAAGTTAAGGCATTTTTCCATACTCATTCTACTTTAGCTAATAATTAAGATTCAAATCCAGGCCAGGACTTCTTATTCCAAATCCAATGCTATATATTCTCAACCCAGATATGAGATGCTTCTGTGTTTCACCAATCCCTTTTGGTATCAGGGGAGACCTGGATACCTCTTATGCATAAACCTGAAACTGGGGGTTATGTGCCATCCATCTCCACCTCTGTGGGGCTGTATAGTTCTGAGGACCAGAACATCATAGTTCTTGAGACATGTGGGACCTTAGAAACCATCAAGTACAATCCTCCTCTTTTACAGATGAGGAAAATGGGACAAAGAAAGGTTAGTAACTTGCCCACGGTCACACAGCTAGTAAGTGTCTAAGCAGGAATTTGAAACCAGATCTTCTTGACTCCAAGCCCAGCTCTCCATCTACTCATTCTGCCATGCTGCCTCACACAATATCTAGAACAGTGACAGCTAAACGTTTTTAGAGGGTTTGCTTTATCCAACTTACAACCTTCATACACATAATCATGCACAAGATTTGCATCCGTTGATACCCACAGGCCACATTCCTAGAAAGAAAGAGTAGTAAAATATCATTTTCCTTTCACGTACAAGTATTAGTTCTCTTTTAACTGTTATTTCTCTCATAGAGAAACACATAAGCACATGTACCATTTCATAATTCTACTCAACAAGTAAAAGCCTAACTCAAGAGAAGGAAAAGAAACATTAAGTGATACTAAAGGACCTCATTTTATTTTTCATGAAACTTTATTAGTTCCTCTAGTGAGCATTTTTTTAAATTTATGATTAAAATCCTAGGAAGCTTCTTTCAGTTTTGTGCTATTTTAGCAATGTTCTATACTTTGCAGAGATACAAGATTCAATGAAAGATCTGGACTTCACAATGACTGACATTTTGGTTCCAAACATATATATCTAAACATACCTGAAAAACTGCATGGGAATTTGTGAACATGCCTAAATAATAGCCAGTGTTGTATATAATTCCAGTTCATGAATCACCTAAGGAGAAGAAATCAGTGGATTAATGTATTTATATCAACTTGGAGGGAAACAACATGCCTGAGAGCCCCATAGCTGGCCCCAGCTTATTTAGTACTTTTAGCAATATTGTCTATAGAAGTGTAACCTCATCTTATTAAATCTGTAGGAACCAAGGGAAAAAAATCTAGATGACAGAATCAAAAGTCAAGAGTCTCAAAAAGCCTGTCGAGCGAAAACTAAGAAAGCAAAATTTAAGAGAGAGTAATCTAAATTTTAAGGTTTAAAATTAAGGCTTAGAAAAACAAAGTTTAGAAGTAGAAAATGGGGGAGAACTGGGTCAATAGCAATTTAAGTTTTCCAAAAAACAGTTTTAGATGACCATCAGCTGAAGCTGAGCTAAAAATGTGACATGACTACCAAAAAAAACCCTAATTCTATCTTGGACCATATTAAAAGAATCAAAGTGTCCAGATCAAAGGAGGGAATTTTCCATTTGTACTCTACACTGGTTCAGCCACATCTGAAATATCATGTCCAACTCTAGATGCCACATTTCAAAAGGAACAGCAACAAACAGAGTAAGAAGATAAGTAGAATGATAAAATGTCTGGGAACCATGTTGTAAGAGGAATAATTGGAGAAAATACAAATGCTTAGTCTGGAAAAAGTGTTAGGGGGACATGACAGCTGCTGTGTGGAAAAGGAATTAGGCTTGATTTTGTGTAGAGAGAAAAACTAACAAAAATAGGTGGAAGTTACAGGGAAGAAGGTTTTGACTCAATTTTAAGAGGAACTTCCTAATAATTAGAGCATTCCATAAAAGGAATGATTACTTTAAAAAGCCATTAACTCCCCATTCCTGGAAGTGTTTAAAGAAAAGCTGAATAGGCCTTATTCTGATTTGCTCATCTTCTTTATGATGCTTTAGATCAAATATACAAACACATACACATATACATATGTATGCTTATACATATTGTTTTGAATCTCTAAATAAGTCTTATTTTGATTTTTCAAGAATGGTTGCCATTCTGTTTTTCAAATGTATTTTCTTCTTTAATTTCATCTAAAGCTGAAATGATGGGTGGTCCTGGAATATAAGTATTCTGATTCTACCAGGGTTTTTTTTGGTTTTTTGGTGAGCCAATTGGGGTTAAGTGACTTGCCCAGAGTCACACAGCTAGTAAGTGTTTTACGTCTGAGGCTGGATTTGAACTCAGGTCTTCCTGACTCCTGGGCTGATACTCGCCACCTAGCTACCCCTAATTCTACCAGTCTTGAACTGAGCCTGCCAGAGGAAGCAAGGCATAGGATCTTCAGGTCTAACATCCCAGATCCTGACCTCTAGTTCTCAGCATCAGCTCTGTATAAAATTTCTAACAGATCCCAAATACTTATGTCTCAAATCCCACTCTGATATACACTAGCTGAGTGACCCAGGGCAAGCCATTTAACCTCTCAATCTCTCAATGCCCCCCAGCAACTTTCAAAAACTATAAATTACAGAACAATTGCTAATCTACATTGACAGAGAGAGTTTCTTTACATTAATGAAATCACAGGTCTGAACCAAAAAAAAGGATGGGGAAAAACAGTGTGGTAGTGTGCATGTACACATATGGCATAACCTTAGAAATTGGTCAGACTTTCACAGGCCTCACATTCAAGAAAATAATACTATTCCCAATGATCTAATTTAACCTTTGGGGAGAAGAGGAAGAAAAAGAAGAGGAGGAGAAAGTAGAAGTGGAGGGGAAAAGATGAGAAAGAAAAGCAAGAAGGAGAATGAAGAAACAAGGAAGAAGAGAAAGAGGAGACTATATTTGAATGTTTCTATTGATGGTGATTAAGTTCATAATTTTCAAAGGCATGAAGGCCAAGAGAAACAGCATGACATAACTGATAGATGACTTGATTAGGCCGGAGGACAGGATGACCCAGGTTCAAATCCTGCCTCTGATACTTATTAGCTATGGGTAAGGCTTCTATGCATCCCAAGCAATTCTCTACTACTGTAAGCTACAGGCAAGTTACCAGTCAGCTTCTGAAGAGAGTTTCCACCCTAAAAGTTCCCACCAAAACAGTGACCAAATCATCATAAACATTCATGAAATACATGTTCCTTTATGGCACAGTGCTACCATTATCTATACTGTATAAATCAAACATAGTCCTTGACATTTAGATTATAACCTAGACTATCAACAGTAACAGATTGGTCAGTCATTTTAGTCATATTCAACTCTGTAACCACAACAACAACATACAGAGACATATTAAGAATGTACAGACACGTAAGTATGAAATTTAGCTTCTGAAACAGTAAAGTTACATTTGCTGGTGTTTCCTTCGTAATTGCTATTTAGTCTACAACCATGTAGTAACCAGATTGCAAACTCCACAAAGGTGTCATTTTTTTAATATTTATTTTTTATAGTTAACCCAACAATAGACACTTTTGAGGACTCTACAGTCTAGTTGAGGAAGCCAAAATACATATACACACCCACACACAAGCATAAGTAAGTTTCTGTTGCCTCCACCATAGCACTTAGGAGACAATGGGCCCTCTAGGAATGCTGTCAACTAATTTCTGGTAACTGTGGGCTCAGTCAAGGAGAATTCTATTAGCCAAAGAGAAAGGTTGTAGTCTTATTAATCTTACAAAATTATTAACAAGGCTATGTACAATGATCATTTTAAAAGGCTTTTTTAGAGTATCATAATTTAGCCACTTTTAGAACATCATTATTTATAACAAGAATCAGATGTATACCAAATGTGTCCAAAGCTATTCTCTCTGTCATCATCTGCGCAGGTTAAAATTCTTAGTTAACATCCTTAGTTATTTGCCCACCAGGACCTTACAAGTGTATAAGTCACATATCCTCTCTGAGACTCTCTTTCTTCTTTTGTAAAATGAAAGCGATACTTAGACAACCTCTAAGGTTTTTTCACAGGCTTGTAAATTTAGAGCTGGAGCTATGAGGCCGGGAGAGTTCTGGTTCAAGTGAACACAAATATCCACTTACCAACCCAACTACAGTTATAGGAAATTGGTAGATTAAACTGGTCTTTACTTTTGTTGAAGAGAGGAAGATACTTTCTTAAAAACAAAAGTGTAACCTAGTGTCAAGCCACTTGACTCTCTATTTAATATCATTTCAATCTTTCCATGACTGCATTTTGTGATGAAACAGAGTTCAACTTACACTTTCTTCTGTAATGTCATTTGAACGATTCATCAGCTTTACACTTTTGTCAACAGCTACAAGTCCTACTAGGGATCCAGGTTGAGTCACAGAAACTTTAAGAGCAACATTCTCAGATGGTTCAGCACTAACTTTATTCCAAGATAATGTAATCTGTGAAAGGAAGAACACATGATTAGTTTAGAGCATGATTATTCCCTAAGAGGTCACAGGATCACAGATTTAAAGCTGGAAAGGACCTTGTAAGACATCTAGTTCAACCCTACTCATTTTACAGATGAGAAAAAATGAGGCCCAGAGAGATTAAGTTCAGCTGAAGGAGAGACAGGAGATAACATGCGCCAGAAAAGTCAAATCACCACCACCACCTTGACTATCATTTCCCCTCAGACCCTACCGGAGACTGCCTAAGACCTTAAGTCTACTAGCCTTGGAAATAGCAGTGTCTCCCAAACCACTAAACCTGCTTCCATCTCATTATCCACAGCCGTCACTGAGGGAAGAAATCATTGTGGTCAGGAGGGCCCACCTTCCTCATCACCACCAGCAACACCTGCTGACCTACTGCCATCAAGAGGCAGACAGGCATAGGAGCCCTGGGAGTGGCAGGACACCCTTACCCACAGATCATCTGTTCTACTTCTGGCTCATCTCTTACAATCATCATTTAGGGAGATGACTGTTATGGAGAAAGGGCCAGCCATCCTCACCAATTGCTAACCAGCTGCTGCTCACAGGGCAAACAAGGCTAGCTGAAGTAGTGAGGCATCCTGAGGGATAGAATAGGAAGCTGCATGCTAAGCAAGTCAGTCTTCATCACCATCACCACCTAGAGCACCATCTCCTCTCAGACTCTGATGGCAACAGCCAAGCACTCTAAACCCAAGAACCTTGGAAATAGCACTACTTCCAGCCCAGTGTCTGCAGCCACCATCCTGGGAAGCAACCCCTGTGGAAATGCAGCCTATAAACTGTTCCCACAAGTGCTACAGTCACAGCTATTGAAGATGCAGAAAGTTCTTGCCACCAAAATCCTTAGCACTGTCAAATAGTTCAACATTAGAAACTCATATGATTTTATTAGGGAAATATAGGCCAGAGGAGAAAGTGGGGAGGGGGGGCAGAGAGAGGGAATTGGCATTCCCACAAGGGATCTAAGTAGGAAGAAAAGCAAGCACAACATAGAAGAAAGCATTAATATCCACCTTGCTGCTGCACTCTGAGGACCATGGGACCTTTCTATCTGACTTACAGCCAAAGCTTTCCATGAGTTGTCTCCCTCATTAGAATGTGAGCACCTTGAGAACAGGGGCTATCTTAATTTCCTATTTGCATCCCCAGCACTTAACATAATGGCTGACATGCAGAAAGTGCTTAATAAATGCTTATTGACTGATAAGAAAAGACAAACAAGAAATTCAGAGAAACTTATAAAAACTTATAAAGATTAATGCAAAACCAAGAGAACAATATACACGATAACTACAATAAAATAAAGTAAAACAGCATCAAAGGCAGCTGACCTTGGATTATGAAGGCAATAACCAATATTGGTCCCGGAAGAAAAAAAACATACTTCCCTCCTCTCGGCAGAAAGGAGTCAAATGTTACCTAGGCTATCATACATAATAATTTATTTTTTTCCTTCTACAAATGCATACACATATACACATATTTGCAGAGAGGCAACATATTGAAAAATAACTGTGGTACAACAAAAATCAATAAAACTTTTTTTTTAAATTTGCTAATCCAGCAATTTCCCATCAGCAGCAGCTCAGTTAAAATGGCTCAAACTGATCACAGATCTGGAGCTGGATGGAACCCCAGGCAACATCAGGTTTGCGAAGATTTTATATTTGCCATTCACATGGGGCAACCAGATGCTTCAGAATAGTAAACAAAATAAGCAAGTATATACATGTGTGTATATATATGCATATATACATATACATATATACACATACACACACATACACATACACACACAAGAGATAAGTAGAAAATCAAAGTATGACAAACTATGCCGAGCAAAAGCACTAAATGAAGGCAGGAGTTAAGAGGACAAGTGATCATCAAGAGAGACAATAATAATAAGAGTAATAATAATAGCTAATAGTTACATAGCTCTTTAACATTTGCAAAGAACTCTCTATATATTATTATCTAATTTGATTTTCACAACCCTGAGAGATAGGTGCCTCATTTTACAGATGAGGAAACTAAGGCCAAAGTTAAGTGACTTGCCCAGGATCATACAGCTAGTAAGTGTCTGTGGCAGGATCTGAACTTGGGTCTTTCTGACTCCAAGTTCAGCACTCTATCCATCTAGATACTAGAGAAAACTTCATAGAAGAGGCAGAACTTAAGCTAGACCTAGAAAAAAGAACAAAACTTAAACAAGTAAAAAAGAATAACAGTTTGTGAGGAAAGATGTGAATAAAGAGACAGAGTAAGGAATGTACACATTTGGGAAAAAATGAGATCAATTTGACTGAAACAAAGGCCTCATGTAAGAGAGCTCTGAAGAGAAGGTTGAAAAGGTAACAGAGGGCCCTGAATGTCAGGTTAATGAATGTTTTGCAAAAGAAGAGTGATAAGTATAGGGTAATTTTTTAGGAAAATTAATCTGACTTATAACGGAAGTGTCAAACATGCAGCCTATCACCTGCCTGAGTGAGGCCCAAACCAGATTAAAATGTAGTTGGGAAATACTTAACATAATAAATAAAAATGCAACAAAACATAGATGACATTAACATGTGGTTTTCTAAATTACATGGTTTAGTGCCCCCCCTTTTCTATTTTAGTTTGACACCAGGGGCACACAGATTTGACCTAAGCCCTCTGCCGGGGGTGCTTACAGTTCAGCAACTGGCTTAGCTGAGGCAGCTAGCAGGAACCCGTTTGGAGAATTATACAATATTGCACATCCCATAAGAGACAGAGCTGGCATATTGTGTGCCAGTGATTAAAGGGCAGGGAAATACAGGCCAGAGGAGAAAGTTGTGGGGCGGGGAAGGGAAAGGGAAGGTACCGTTGGCATTCCCACAAGGGACCCAAGTAGGGAGAAAAGCAAGCACGAGCTAGAAAACTTAGTTTGCATCAATGTGTCTGCAGAATGCCAAGATTCAAAAGCTGAGTTATGCAGAAAGTACAGTTGCCATGCAAGAGAATTAACTGTTTGTGTAAGTCAACCCCATTCTGATTCCACAAAGCTCTGGTCTTTTTACTAGGACGGTTTGCTTTCCCACACCCTGACCTTACACTTTAGTCATAGACCAGGTTTGCCACATCCTTTTGTGATTCAGTCTCCCTTAGGGGATCAAGGAAATTTAAACCCAGCCTTTGGTGATCACTCTCTCTCCTGAAATCCTATGGAACTTCTTGTCTATACTGGGCATTGAGTCACTTCACCTATACTGCTTTGTGTTGTTACTTACCCTTTCATGTATACGCCCCCGCTCCCTAACCAGACTAAACTATAAATTCAGTGACAGCGTGAAACTTTCATAAAATCTTCTTAAACTAGAATCATGGTTTTAGTGATCAATTAGTAGTGATTCTGCTAATCACTGGATTATCAGAATCTCTGCTAATGAGAAGGAACCTCAGTGGCTAGTTAGTACAACCCAACCACAAAAGTAATCTCCACTATAACACCCAAACAAATGATTATCTATTCTGTGCTTGAAGACCTTGTAGGGGCTGGAAGGGAGAGGAAGGAGAGAGGGAATTTACTACCTCTTAAAACAACCCGTTCCACTTCTGGGCAGCTCTCATTGTTAGGAAAATTTTCCCAACATCCAGCCTTGGAAATTTCTCCCCATTATTCCTGGTATGAGGGGGACAAACAGAACAAGTCTCACCTCATCCCTACTCCACAAAAGAGCGCCTCAAATATTTGAAGACAGCTATCATGTTCACCCTCTATCTTCTCTTCTCCATACTAAGTATTCCTTCAATTGAGGATCAGATGTCATTGACTTAAGGCCCTTCACCATTCTAGCTGCCCTGCTCTAGAAAACTCCTGAGCTTATCCATGTCTGTCTTAAACTGTGGTGCCCAGAACTAAAGGCAATACTCAAGATGAGATCTAACAGGGTAGAGTTCAGAGGGACAACCACCTCCCTAAATCCCAGGAGCTAGGCCCCTCTTATGTAGCCCAAGATCACATTGGTTTTGGGTTCTTTTCTTTTTTAGCTCCCACATCACACAGCCAATGTAGATGGAGCTTACAGTGGACTAAGATCCCCATATCTCTTTCAGACAAACAACTATCTATCCATGATACCATCATCTTATGTACAACAGTCAAGAAACGTCTGTTATTGAGAATGGTAAGACCTTTGAATTTTTCCAAGATCTGAGCCTATATGAAGGGGGCAGCAATGAAAATGAAAAGAAAGGAAAAGAGGGATGGAAGCAAAAGATATTATGTTTTACATTTACTAGAAAAATGATAGTCAAATGCAGTATCTCTTTACCTTTAATTTATTGTAACTATTTAGTAAAGCATTCCTTCATTCTTTCGTGGTCAGTAAAAAAATCTGTATCTATGAAATCACCACAAAACCATTGGTCCTAATATTTAGCAAAACAGCACAAATTCTAAGCAGGTAAACTATACATGGGCACAAAGGACAGTCAGGAACCACCCACCATGCTCCCATCAATAACAGTTGACTTGTGATTTTCTATACCCAATTCCCATGCCTGTTACATATTATACTGGTGGTCAGGAATAATCCTCACGGGCAGACAGTCACTCCGCTAAATATTTTCCATCTACAATAGCCATGATTTTATGAGATTATTAAGAACTGAATATCAGGCACAAAGGTTAAAGATGGAATCATGACATAATGAAAGAAATGCTGGATGTAGAGTCAGGAGTTCTTGGTTTGAATCCTCCCTTAGATGCTTATTAGCTATATAGCCACATACAAATCATTTATCTTCCAAGAGACTCAATTTCCTCATCCGAAATACAGGATCAACAATAAACCACCTGCCTTAAAGGACTCTTGTGAAGAATACACTCTGAAAATTTAAAACATTGTATATAAATATGAATTATTATTATCACTAACTATAGTTACAGAATATAATATAGTATGTAATCATGTTTAAATAATAATGGATTAACACACAGGTACAAACTAATTTGTTTATTTTAGCTAGAAAAATTTCAAGTATGTAATTAAAGAATTCCAGCTAGTCTGCGCCACTTACTACTAATCCCTGACCAAACTCTCCAAAGTCTGGCTCACTCTGCTTCCATAACCTTCCTAACCTGCTCTACACACCCGAAATTTCTACACAAACCCCTTATTCTTCATTTTATTCCAACATCAGTACCAAAGAGATTCTACAACTCCAATGGAATTCTCACCCTTCTGAGTTTGTACAAAAAGAACGTGATTTTTTTTTTGCTCAACTATTCACTTCAATATACATTTAAAGCCTAGTGTATGAAAAGCACCTACTAGGCACTGAGGGATATAAAGCATTTATACAGGGTGTTCTAAAAGTCTTAGGGAAATTTGAAACTTTGGTCTTTCAAAACATCACTTATAGGACATGGTTCCAACCCTCATCCCTTAAATAAACTATAAGCAACATAAAACCCACAGTCACACAAATGCATATGGACACACACAGAGATAACTGTAACAAGCAATAATACATGATAAGTGCAAATACTGCTGCACTTATTCACCTCTGAAATCCTGAAATGTATTAGCTTCATGGCTGTGAGCTTTGATCATTGCAGGAACCCACGTAGACAACAACATAAGTGTCAAATAAAGTGATCTGGTTCATCAAACAAGAATAAATAAATGAAATGTTTATCTCTCAAGATCTTTTATCATCTATTTTACCAAAATTCTAGAGTTGAAATTTAATTAATTTGTATTAACCATTCTTTTCTAAACAGATTTTTGGGAACATCCTTTTTCTTTCTTTCTTTTTTTGTAATTACAATCTTAATCCTGATTTCTTACCTTATTCTTAAAGACAAGTTGGACAGGAACTTTCAGGACATCGTTTATAATTTCCCCACTGTCTCCAACATAGTACACAATTATACAGGCTTTTGGAGCCCAGGAATTTTCTGGTGTTAAAGAAAAAGTTGAAGAGTTCTTTTTGCCCACTGCAACCAGCTGACTTCGGGATATCACCTGAAAAAAAATACAATTTATTTTATGATAAAGCTGACACTGTGAGCTGCAATAATTATGTCTTCTACATTTACCATAATTTCAAGTTCAGACACATATATTTGACTTCAATCAGTCTCACAACTCTTCCAGAATCAAATATACATTGGTGAATATCCTGTGTTAACATACTCATCTGGGTTAGAATTTATTTACATTCAACATTACAAAAATATAAGATACCTCTAATTAAAAATATTAAGAACTTAAGAAATTGAGGGGGGAGGGGTTAATTTAGTCTGGTGAAGTAGAAGAGGCAAACTCCCATTTGTGTGGATCAGCTTTTCACAAGTGAAATGGTGGAAATAAAAAAAAAACCTTAATATTAGAACACAAATTTGGAATGGAGGGCATGAGAGAGGAGGAAGTGAAACATTAAAGTATTAAAATGGAACTGGCTGAAATTTTTAGAGTTTCAGCTCCACAACTGGAGACATGTAGTTCTTTTTAAGGGAATTTGGTGCTGTGGAAGGAGCTACAGATTCAGGGTTTAAGGTCCCGTGTCTGAATCCCACCTCCACTATCACAAGCTGTAGAACCATATATTCACAATTAGGTACAATTATAAACTACAATGTGTGGCTTTGGGCAAATCATTTTTAACAAATCTGGCCCACAGATTTCTCATTTATCAAACAAAAGTAAAGGGCTTTGCAAATCTTAAAGAAATATATAAATGCTAGCTATTATTAACCCTGTGATTCTTGAATTTATTTGTTGAGTGATGGAGCCAGTCCCTGGAGACCACAGAGCAGCAGTATAAAAGAATATTTTGATGGTAATGTATGAAGGACAGTCTGGAGGAGAATGATGTTGAAAGAAACACAGTAATAATGGTATAAGTATACAGTAATATGTCAAATTATATATAATATATTTTAAATTGCAGAATTACCATATAACTTAGCTCCTTCATTGGCTTGTTGCTAGTGACAATCAGTTCAAAAGGTGAGCCAGCCTAGAAAAACAATATTCTCATTAACATACAAGAATCACTAACAAGACAGATGTGCTAATTATATTATCAATTATCACATGAATACACATTACCTTTACATTTTCACTTCCTGTTTTTAACTGGATATATGTCATACTAGGAGATCTAAACATGCCATGAATTGATAAGCTATTCACACTATCAAGAAAAGAAGCCTGAAACAAACAAAAAAAAAGAACTTTAATTTAAACTATTTTAATACTTTTATATTAATTCTTGACAATTAATGAGAATGAAACATACATAAAACACTGAATAGTCCATCCCTTTCAAAATGAAGTAGACTTTATTTTTTAAAGCAGGTAAAATGTGTGCCATTAATACTAGATATTCACAATTAGGTACAATTATAAACTATAAGAATACTATACTTCAATGCTTCAAAAGATGGTTCTTCATTGATGTAGGAGTTGCCCTCCACCAATACTAGCTTTCAACTATTTCAATACCCATGTTTTATTGTGACCCAAAAAGATTCATCATGCCAGACTTCTAATGATAGATTTCTATGTACTTAGCCAGGCCGATCCCTGGATAAGAGACATTATTAATAGTTAATAAGAGTCCATCACTAGGCCAATAACCAAAGTTAGCCCTTTGAGAAATGAGGGTCACTTCCACAACACAAGATGCTGAAATCTGTCTATGTAAGTGTCAATAAAATAATTACTGTTGAAACACATTTCCATAGTGTCTAGTTTGTATAACCCTGTCCATAATGCATATAAGGGTATGTTTGCTAATTAGGATTTTTGTAACTGAAAATAATTATCCACTATCCTTCACCTTATAAAAGAGATTGTATCACTTGCCAGAGAATGGTTATAGCAAACAGAGCTATCCATATGTAAACTGATAAGATGAGGCTGTTTCTCCCTAATATTAAAATCCTGAACTTCATAATCATCATCATCAAGCATTTATTAAATGTTTACAGTCAGGCACTGTACCACACTCTGGGAATACAAAAAGGCTCATTTCCTCCCCTCAAGGAGCTCACATCCTAATGGGAGAGGCAAGAGACAAACAACTACGTACCCTCAAGATACATACAGGGTAAACAAAAGGAAGTCTCGGAAGAAAGGCGCTACTAACATTAAAGAGGACCAGAAAAAGAGCACAGGGTCCAGAGATGGGGTGTTATGGGTCAGGAAGAGCAAGAAAGCAAATGAAGCTGAATCAGTGCATGGAAGGAAATAAAGTGTAAGAAGATTGAAAAGGTAGGAAGATGCCCTACTCCATCCATTCCCCCCCCCAGTCAGCATTCATATGCAGGAATCCAAGGGAAAGGCATAACGGCTCTATTCTGGTTGGTTTCCCTGCCACAAGTTTCACCATCCTCCACTCGGTCCAAGTGATCTTCCTAAAATGCAGGTCTTACCATGTCAAATCCCTCCCCCCACAATAAAATCCAGTGTTTCCCTATCATGTCTAGGATCAAATATAAAATTCTCTATTTGGCCTTTAAAGTCTTTCACAACTGACTTCAGCCTTAAAATATTGCTGATCCCTCAATGATAGCTGTTTTTACCTTTACTTTGTATGCCAAAGTTTTACATAGTACCTAACACATAATAAACACTTAATAAATGTTTGTTGGTTGATTGACTAATTTAATATTTCTCTCTTAAAGACCAGCTTAACTCCAAATTACCCTGGCTCTGATTGATTGGCCAACAATAGGTTCCCAAGCCAAGTCCTACTTGATCATTGTTTGGGCCCTTGGCTCAGAATGAAAGTAAATAGCAATTGTTTCTGTTTTGGCCAGAAACCCTAAGGGACTTCCCCTCCCAGATTGATTTTTTTTTAAAGAGGCCATTCTTTGCTTCATTTCTTATTAAGCCTTAGTCATTGAATAACTGAATTGAGTATTAAAGACCTAAGATTGAAAAGGGCAAGGGCCCCCCCTGCATCCAAGGCCATCTGCAGTCATCCTGATCTATATCTGGCCACTGGACCCAGATAGCTCCAGAGGAGAAAGTGAGGCTGACTTTTTTGCACAGCCCTGCCTCACTTAAATCCAATTCACTCACATGCCATGACATCCCCTTCCTAATGTCATGGTCCTCTTCAAAAAGAAGTACAAACAGCAAGCATATAGCCTGCATTTGAACTAAAATGTCTGATTTGTTATCCCCATAAATAACATTCCATCTCTCTCCTCCCTGCCTATGCTCATGTACACAAGGCCTGGAATGCTTTCCCTCCTCATCTCCACCTCTTGGAATTCCTAGATCCCTTCAAGGCTCAACTCAAGCATCACCTCCTAGCTGAGGCTTCCCTGATTTTACCTCCAGTTATTACTGCCCTCCAAAATTATTTTATGTTTACTTTAAATATTTTATAATTACTTTTGCTGTCCCCATACCTACCTCACAACAAAATGCAAACTCCTTGAGGGCAGGGACTGTTTCGTTTTTGTCTTTGTATGTCCAGCATCTAGCACCATGCCTACCATGCAGTAAGTGCTTAATAAATGTGGGATGGATAGAATTAGGATTTTAAGGGAGAAAAGAAACTAATACCTCTAAGGAATTAGAAGAGTAATAATTGTTAGGATAATATCCCATCGGAAACCACCATAGAGAAGACAGGCTAGAAAAAAAGGAGGGAGTCATCAAAAATAACACCCTTCCCTCCCAGCCCACAAAGGGGTAAGCAAGAAAAGAGTCAGTCACTGTCTCTACTTCTGTGTGCTCATCACTTGATCTATCAATGAAAGAAGTATAAGGAAAGAAGCCAGATGTGCCACACATCACAAAAGGCCATATTTCACAACTCTGCCCCAGCTCTGTGGTACAATATATGGCAACCAAGAGAGACCAGTCTGGGCCAGAAAAAATGGCCAAGAGACTCCAGGCAAAACCACTGAAGATTTTCAGATGGAGAGGATAACAAGTGTGTGTGAAAACAGAAAACCATCTCTATTTTCCTTTCTTCTCTTTTATAAGTAACTCATTTCTAGTGTAACCTAAACTCATACCCAGCTTCTACAAAATTCTGATCACAAAAGACAGGGTATCTGCTTAAATGCTTACTTGTTTTCTTGCCTATCGTAGCTTCTTAGATTATTGCATCTTAAAATGTTCTTCTAAAAATGGTTTTCAAGTACCTTTACCAGAACTGTCTTGATCTAATCATTGTGAATTCTCATAAAAAATACTTTTCCCACTATTGTTTATGGTCAAATACCTTTATTCTCTAAGCATTTTAAGCCCTGACTGGTTGTTGCCTTCATTATTGGTGTTTACACAAGGCAATGGAAATCCTGTCCCCAAGTTACAGTCATAATAGCATTTTCTTAAGAGTAGAATGGACACAAACAGCACCTTCACTTGCAGTTGACTGGTATTAACCAGGATTGGGAATTCAAGATGAAAGATCCCATTTTCTGGAACAGTATAATTTAGGACCCGGACAGTTTCTCTTTCCTGATCTTCGTTGTTCCATTTGTCCCAATAATTAGTATAATTTGTCTGCGTTATGGTGAAGGTTACATTATTTCCTATTTCTTCAGGAGTCAGCCAAACATTGTCAGAACGAGTTATCTTCACCTAGTTGACAGAAAGGAACACAAAGCAAAAGATATCACAAGAGAAGAAGAGGAATTATTTAATTTGAATCTGGAATTATCTGAAAAGGAATTATTTCCTTTGAATCTGGCTTCCACCCTTCATCACTCTCTTGAAACAGAGCTATTGGATATTACCACTAGTTTAATGGCCAAATACAGTTGTCTTTTTCACAGTCCTCATTCTCCTTCCTTTAAACTTTTAAAACTCTCTTCGCTTGATGTCTGTAACCCTGCACCATCCTTGTTCTACTACTGCTACTCCACTTGCTTCTCCTCTCTCCTTACTGCATTTTCTTCCTTCTAACCCCAAAACGTAGGAATTGCCCAAAACTTTGTCCTCAGCCTTCTTTTCTCTCTCTCCATTCTCTCTCTCTCCCTTGAAGACGTTTATCTACTCCCACCACTTCAAATGTCACTTCTTTGTGGAATGATTCTGCCAGTTTTGCTCTCCATCCCTCATACCTTTCTCAAGTTCCTTCCTTGAAGAAAATGAATTTCCATTTAGAGGCACCAAATTCAAAATGTCTAAAATTTGTCTTCTCCTCCAAATCAGTTGTTCCTCCTAATTGTCCTAATTGTTAGTGGTATCACAATTCTCCAAGTCATTTGGTTTCAAAATTCATCATAGACTGCTCCTCTTCTCTTGTCCTTCCCTTCCTCCAATATCATAAAAGGGCATGTGTTCTGTTTATTTTTTCTTCCAAATGTCTTATAACTGTCTCCTCCCTTCCATTGTCTCTTCTATCACCCAAGTTCATGCCATTTATTACCACATTCCTGAATCCCAACCAGTATTCCTACTTCCAGGCTATCTGTGTGTGAGAGAACTGTAGGAACTGTGAAAATCAAACTGACTCTATCTTGTAAAACTGACTCCATTTTGAGACCTAAGTTTCACTTTCCTGTAAATTCCATCTGCTCCTTAATTGAGGGACTTGAATGACATTCTATTTTACAAATCCACCTTGCAAAGTCCACTGGCTCACCCTCCCCATTCCCAACTCTCAAAACTCACTCATCCCCTCTCAACTCGGAAAGCCCCTAATCTTTCCTCCAATTAGAAATCAGATTACATAATCTTGTGTCCTGGTATATATCCTGTTAATTGTTTTCTTTTAATGCAAAAAATCTCTCTCCTCTTGTATTCAGGGTGCAGTACCAAGCTCAGGAGGCTTGGTCTCGATTTGTTATGCAATTTGGCATGCATTGCTTAATAAACTGATATGCTAGAAAACTCAAACCTTTGTTTCCTTACTAATTCAGATTTCACCCATCACGGTGACCCTGGGCAAGTCCCTTAATCTCTCTCAGCCTCAGTTTCTTCGACTGTAAAATGGGGAAAATAACAGCACCTATCTTACAGGATTGCTGTGAGGATCAAATGAGATACTATTTGTAAACAGCACAGGGCCTGGCTCATAGTACATGCTATATAAATATGTATTTTCTTCTCCCTTCTCAGCTTCTCTGTTTCCACTGTTTCTTGCACTTTTCCAGCCAGTTAATATTCTCAAAGCATATTTCTTTCATTTTTGTTACTGTAATGTTCATAAACTTCTGATAACTCTCTACTGCCTACTGAATAAAATCTGAACTTCTGAATTTAGAATTCTGGGTCTTGTTGGGAACAATTTGTTCCCGGCTTTTCCAGCCATGTCTCCCATTGCCCCCATATACAGGTGCTACACTTTGGGCCAACCAATTCTTAACTTTTTTTGTGTCATGGGCCCTTTCAGCAGTTTAAAGAAACCTAAAGACACCTTCTTTGAATAATGTTTTTAAATAATTGAAGGAAATGCTAAGTTTCAGTTAGAGGTTAATGAAAATAAAGATGTGGTTTTTTTTCCCCATCCAAGTTCACAAACCCTCTAAAATCTATCCATGGACCCAGAGGTCTATAGATCACAGGTTAAGAATCCCTACCTCATACCTGCCTAATAAAATGCTATTCATCTTTCAGGATAAATTTGAGGTGTGATCTCCTCCATGAAGCCTCCTTTGACCACCCTACAGTGATTTCTCCTCCCTCTAAGAGGTAATATTAGAATATCATTTATTATTCATATCATTTATTTGATACTTACCATTGTTGGCCTTGTATCTTTACTACTTATTACTTGTTGATTACCACTTGTAATCTTTTAAATTATGCAATGTTATCTGCCCAACTAAAATGTAAGTACTTAGGGGACAAGATCAGTGTGTGATGCTTCACTCATAGCACCTAGCATGGTACCAAACACAAGATAAGTGTTTAATAGAAGGTGCTATGGAAGTTGATTGCCAAGTGTATGCAAGTACTATGTTCTCTCAAAGATCGATACAGTTTAGTTACTTATATTTGGATGCCCAATGCTAAAAAATTCACAAACTATCTTCATGTCACAATTGATAGACATGTTCAGATGCAGCCAGAATTAACTCCTTTTTATAAACAACATACTGGTATTGAAAAAAAAACTGCCCGTATAATTCCTAATCTCTACAATAATAAGGGTTCAATTTGATAATCTAAATCTAACAAAGTAATTTGCTAATGTTGTTCAATCATGTCTAACTCTTTGTGATCCCATTTGGGGGGTTTTTGGCAAAAGATGCTGGAGTGGTTTGCCATTTCCTTCTCCAGCTCATTTTACAGATGAGGAAACTGTATTAAATGACTTGTCCTAGTTCACACAGCTAGTATCTAAGGCAGATTTGTACTCAGGAAGATGAGTTCCTGACTCCAGGCCTGGCAGTTTATCCACTGCACCACCTAGCTGCCCCCAATTTGCTGATATCTACATAAAATGTTTCCTTTCTTTGAAGACTCTCCCAACTCCCCATGAAAGCTAGTGTACAGACTTTGGGAAAAACAAGCCCATATTTCTCTTTCTGGCTTTAACCTAAATATTAGACAATTGGTGAATATGATACTTCTAATTCTATTTCATTTCAAGAGTTCTAGACTTAGATTCAAAAGGTCTGAGTTAAAGTCCCAGCTCCACTACATATTGTATATCTTTGGAAAAGTCTTAGCTTCTTTAATCCTCAGTTTTCTAAAAATTGCACCTAAGACTTGTACTCCCTACCTTTTAGGGTTGCTATGTGAATCAAGTGAGATAATGTAATCATAGTATTTTATAACCATAGCATAATATATGTGAAACCATTATTTTAACTTACTGATTCGCACTTATAATTAAATATACCAACTTACAGTAACTGTGTAGTTGAGAGAAGGCTTCAAGACAGTAGCGTAGTCAAAAAATTCAATGGTGTAGTCATTTGCCTTGAAAAATACATTGGAACTTGCATTTCGGGAAATTCCTGTTTCAGAAATAATACCGTTTAGATAAAAAGAAATCATGTTTTTAACAATAGAGACTTCCTATTATACTTTCCCCAGGGCTCAACACCAACAAGTCAATCAGTAATTATTTCAGAAACTCATTTTCCTCAAGTCCTTTGGCACTAGAGCAGAAGGGTTAGTTCTGATCTCTCCTTCTCTCTTTCTTTCTCTCACATTATTAAAGTTATGTGTAATGTGCAAATAAAGCAAGTCTATTGTCCTCTACTAGGGGTCATAAAGAGAAGGGACTTTGGAAATATGAGATTCCTTACAATTCTAGATCTATGATCCAATATAATAACATCAGAAAAAGGCAAAAAGAAAAGGCATCACGAGCAAGGTGACATTTCAGGAGATGTTTAAACAAAGGCAAAGACCAAGCTTAGCCTGGGGAAAGGCAGGACATTCCTGCCACAGGCTGAAACCTGAAAGAATACCCCAAGTTTTCAGAGGTGGGCATGAGAAAAATTGTACTAACGACTAATCTCACATAACTGACTTACAGATTGAAGAGATAAGATAAAACATCCCAAGAATATCTTGTATTATTCTACATTTATATCTTTTACCCATACTAGAATATAAGTTCTGTGAGTGCAAGATGATATCTCATTTAACTTTTGTATCTTCCCTGAAACTACTACAATACTCTAAATTAGGTGCTTAATAAATATTGAATAAATGAAACAAATGAAAAGTTGTTGTTTTTTTTAAATTCTATGGAAACTAGTAAAATATCCAATATCACTGAACAGCAACTTCTACGTAGTGAATTAGAAGAAACAATAAGATAGCCTACAAATGTATTTGGCCTAAGAAATCTTACACAAGAAGCATCAAAAAATGGCTCAGTGATTTTAAATTGCTCTTCAGAAGACACCATAGTATCATTATGAAAAATCATTACTGTTAAAAAATGTACTACTATACCTGTAAGTGATTCTGTCACTACAGCAATAATTTCTACTGGCCCAGGAGAAGACCTATCACTGGGGTAATGTAGTTCCTCTGCATGATTCATGACGCTTTTCATCTCTAGACCACTAAAAGTGAAGTTTGCAGATCCATTTATCTGTGTGGGGGAAAAAAAAAAGAATGCATGCTTGTTCAATTGAGTTATTCAAATTCTAGAAATGAACCTCTAATTTAAATTCTAACCACACTAAAGTCATAACTGCTGCCTTCTCATTCCATTTCTCTTCATAAAAATATAAAATTCCGCTACATTCAATGACTAATTATGTAAATGAGGCAGAAAATGCTGGAACTTGGAGTCAGGAAGACCTGAGTTCAAGTCCCATGTCAGACATAGTCCAAGTTGTGCAAGCCTAGGCAAGTCACTGAAGCTCCCTCATCTATAAAAGGGGGATAATAATAGCACCTACTCACCAGATCGTTATGAGGACCAACTGTGATGACATATATAAAATGCTAATGCAAAACTTTGAAGTTTATATAAAAGCTTGCTATTAATATTGTAATGAAGGGTTGGTGAGCAACAATCAGTATGTTTTGCTAATGCAGCCCCCCATGTGGAAGAGGCTGGGGAGTCTGGTTCTAGAGAGGTATGATGTGTGATGAAATTGCCTTGAGGAAATATACTTAGACACTCTACACCTAGTTCTGGCTTGTTAGACTGAAGAGGAACCTTTTTGGTTGGCTGAATAACTGGGAATGGAGTTATCTTCAAAAGGCATTAGTCAGCCAGAGCTAGTCATCCTGATCTGACTCCTTCCTGCCTGTGGTTTAGTGAGAGAAGAGAGAATTCTCTAACACGACAAGCCATGGCCTTCCCCATTAGAGTCTTGGTTCTTAGCCTCAGCATCTATTCTTTCCTGTCTGAGTTGTTGTTCAGCCTTTGTTTTCAAAGACCAATGTTATCACTGTATAAGTGATGACTTGTTCAGGAATTAGATTTAAGTGAGGCAGAGTTGTGGAAGGCCTACAGCCTCGCTCTCTCTTTCAGAGTCATTGAAGTCCAATGGCAAGACAAAAATTAGGATGACTGGCTATGGCCCTGGATGCAGCAGATAATGGCATCTTCGATGCCTTGCCAAGCTCTAAGCACTCCACGGAGCTTGATTTAGCCCCTTTATGGCCATTGGAACACGTTGTTCTTGTCCACCCATTCCACAGAAGAAATCTTCACATGCTTGGGCACCCTCCTAACTCACCAATGGATATGAAGCCTTTTGGCTACCCTCAACCTAGGTTAGCCCATCTGCCCAGACAGCTACAACTGTATAAGCTTCAAAAAGTCAGGAGAACAAGCCATACTGAATAGAGTCTATGCTGGGTTTTGTAGTTAGCCAGTCACTCAAGGCCCTGAGGATAGACGAAGAGCCTCTGGGACCTACCCAGCTGTAGCTGCAATGAGGATTCATCCAGCAGCCATACCACATTTGGACATAAATAGGATAGGGCTATGCTAGAGAGAAACTTCATTAATTCTGATCCCACTCTTTCCAGAGACCAAGGTGGTATAGGAGACAGTGTGTCCTCAAAGTGTTGTACAGAAATGTTTGTATTTCTGTATGTGTTATATCTTCAAAGTAAATATCCATTTGTAAAAGCTAATTGAAAGAAATTAGTTAAAAAGAACTGGGAAGTTAAGCACTGTCAGTAAATAACAGAGGAACACACTGGAATGGAGGTTGGAGCTGCTAACATTAGGGAAAGACAATCCTGACTCCTCGGGGGTACCCCTACAATCTTGAGAAGACACTGAAAGCCTGCCTCCCCCTAACACAAAGCAAGGGTCACTAAATGTGGAGCCTCATATGCAATAAAGCATCAGAACTGTTTGAGTTTTGTAATCAGTTTCCTATGCTAACTCATTGAGATACCTTTACTTTTGGAATATCTACATTTAACGAATACAATGTTTTACAGCAAGTTCATTACTCAAGATTTTGTCATGGTTTATCATTTTGTTGTTGTTGTTCAGTCACTTCAGTTGAGTCCGACTCTTCATGGCCCCATTTGGGGTTGTCTCAGCAAAGATACTGGAGTAGGTTGCCATTTCCTTCTCCAGCTCATTTTACAGACGAGAAAACTGAGGCAAACAGGGTTAAGTGGTTTGCCCAGGGCCACACAGCTAGTAAGTTTCTGAGGCCAGAGTTGAACCCAGGTCTTCCTGACTCCAGGCTAGAAATTTTCAAATCACTTATCACCTTAAGAGATAGTAAAGGCTAGTAGATAAGAATGGTGGATTTGGAGTCAGGAAACCTAAGGTTCAAATCCTACCTCTGATATTTACTATGTTACCCACCTCTCTGGGTCTCAAATTCCACGTACAGAAATACTTGCAAAACCTATCTCCAAGGTTGTTTGTGATGCTAAAATGAGATACTGTACATAAAGTGTTCTGCTTAATAACCTAATGACTGCAATCATCATCATCATTATCATTATTAAACTTGGATTGGCCCAATAATTTATCTGTTTCTTAATGTAACGTTTAAATATTCAGTTCACATGACCTTCCTAATGCACAGATATGACTATGTCAGTCCCCCTATTCAATAAACTCCAGTGGCTCCACATCACCTCCATGACCAAATATGGAATCCTCTGCTCGGCATTCAAAATCCTGCTTAACTTGTCTCCCCCAATACACATATTTCCAGTCTTCTTATTCCTTACACTGCCCCTCACATACTCTTTGATCCAGTGACATTGACTTCCTCGATGTTCCTCAAACAAGACCCCCCATCTCCAGACTGCAGGCATTTTCAGTGGCTCTCCCCCACGACTGGACAGCCTTCTCTCTTCATTTCTGCCTCCTGCCTTCCTAGCTTCCATCAAGTCCCAAGTAAAATCCCAAATTGTACAGGAAGCCATTCCTGATTCCCCTTGATCCTTGTGCCTTCTCTCTGTTGATTATTCCCAATGTCTCTTCTACACAGCTTTTTTTGGTATATAGTTGTTTGTATGCTATCTCCCTTTCTTTGCATCCCTAGTGCTTATTAGCAAAGTGCCTGGTACAGCAATGTTTAATAAATATTTATTGACCGATTATATTTTCTATATTAGAAAAACCTCATGATTTCTTTATAAAAAATTCTTACCTCAAAATGTTTGGTAATAGTTTTCTTTATTCCCCAGATGGACAGAGGCACAAATATGAGTGTAACATCACCTTTAACTGGTTTTCCATATGTGTACCTGAAAAAAAGTAAACATGCCTTTTTCCATTTCAAATTGGATCGTGTTAAAATAATAGTCAAAAATGCCAGTTATGAACATTAAGCTTTGAACAGATTTTTTAAACTATCACCTAAAAATATCAAGATTATTGCAGTAATCAGCATCAGACTATCCTTGAGACATTCTAGAGATTTTTATACAAATTGACAGCAAGTCATTACTAAGCTTTTCAAAGAAACCTTGAATCAATTAATTCCAAATGGATCTATCACTATCAAATGTATCTATGCACTATCATTATCTGAATGGGTTAGAATAAAAATTGATATAGTGAGAAAAAAAGATAAGCATAGCTGATGCTGTTATCCCAGAAAAGGGTCCACACATAGCATTCCTCTAGCTTCACTTTCCCAAAGATTAAGGAATAAGATTAAAAATATCAATGAGAAGCTACATAGTGAGTTTCTCAATACCAAAAGCATGCAAAAAAGTTAGCCAGAAGCCCACAGGCAATAGAAAAGGAGACCACCAGCAAAGCCAGGACCAGCACAGGCAGACAAGCTAGTATCCTCCTACTGCTCTCAAAAAAGGCCAGAAAGAAATAAAGCTGTACATACAGAAATACTTGCAAAACCTATCTCAAAGGTTGTTTGTGATGCTAAAATGAGATACTGTATGTAAAGTGTTTTGTTTCATAAGCTAATGACTGCAATCATCATCATCATCATTATTATTAAACTTGGATCGGCCCAATAATTTATCTGTTTCTTAATGTAACATTTAAATATTCAGTGTACATGACCTTCCTAATGCAGAGGTCTGACTATGTCATCCCCCTTATTCAATAAACTCCAGTGGCTCCACATCATCTCCATGATCAATTCAATGAGAAGCTACATAGTGAGTTTCTCAATACCAAAAGCATGCAAAAAAGTTAGCCAGAAGCTCACAGGCAATAGAAAAGGAGGCCACCAGCAAAGCCAGGACCAGCACAGGCAGACAAGCTAGTATCCTCATATTGCTACCAAAAAAGGCCAGAAAGAAATAAGGCTGTAAGACTTTATGTCCAGAGATATTAGGGAGAAATCCCAAGGGTGTGACTCTTGGAAGACGAGAGTGGCAATGTCTACTATGGCACAATAATGTTCAGACTAGGATGTGCTAGGTCCAGGGACTCTGAGGTCCCGAGCACTCTGTGCCAAGATGCCCTAGAGGACCATAAAGATCCAGCACCCTGAAATTCAAAGATCCAGGAAGACTTAAGGAGGCAAAAAAATCAGCAAAGGAACCCAGGCAAAGATCAAGCAGAGAAGGAAAGGAAGGAAATACGCATTTATTAAGCACCTACTGGCATATAAGTGCTGAACACTTCACAATTATTACCTCATTTAATCCTCACAACAACCTTGGGATGTAGTTTACTATTATTATCCCCATTGGACAACTGAAGAAACTGAGGTAAATAGAGGTTAAGTAACCTGCCCAGTGTCCAAGACCAGATTTGATATCAAATCTTCCTGACTCCAGGCCTAACATTCTTTTTTTTTTTTTGCTTTTTTTGGGGGATGAGGTAATCGGGGTTAAGTGACTTGCCCAAGGTCACACAGCTAATAAGTGTTAAGTGTCTGAGGCTGGATTTAAACCCAGGTCCTCCTGACTCCAAGGCCAGAGCTCTATTCACTATGCCACCTAGCTGCCCCCAAGCCTAACATTCTATCCAACTCTGAGGCAAGAAGCCCACCCAAAAGTAGCACAGGGGTAGAGGATGAACCTGCCGCAAATCCACAATTCAAAAGCTAACCTGGAGAAATGAGTAAGCCTGACTCCAAAGGCACTCAAAGAACAGTGCCTTACTCTCTCCCACTCTTGCCAGCTTCACCCTGACCCTCACATCGGTGGAAGACATTGATCTCTACCAATGAGGAAAGAGTCCCATACATTGGCTTTGGGACTTATATTACATTCATCTGCGCTGCCCCACCCCCATAAAATGATAGCTCTTTGAGGGAAGAAATATGCGTGGTTTTTTTTTCTCTTTGAAAGCCTTGCATCTACTGTAGAAGTACTTTGCACACAGTAGGTCCAAATTTTTGTTGAATTGTACTAAAATTATTATAGTAAAATCCTGGAGTACTAAAAAAAAAAGAAAGAAATGAGTAAGCCAAAAAAATCAGTATTTAAAAAAAAATATTGTAGATACGGAGATCCCTCAAAAGGAGAGAATAACTATATGACAATTCTGAACAAAGACTTGAAGTTTTTTAATGGATTTTCCATAAACACAACATGATATCTAGAAGAATGAAAATAACGTGTTAAAAATGAAATAAAAGCTCTTGAGGAAAAAATCAAAAGGAGAATAAATAGCTGACAAGAAAAATGGTAAACCTTACCTAAGAGGTGGAATCTCTGAGAACTAAAACAAGACCAAAGAGACAGCAATGATTCTATGAGACAGCAAGAAATATCAGAAGACTGAAAAATAGAACATACAGCCAATCCTCAACTTTTGCAGAGTTTAACATTTCTAGAAAACAGTGTGAAAGTCAAAAACACAAATACTGATACATTGAACCCATGGGAAATAGAGGGTTAGGTTTCCACAACCACCAAAAACTGCAATCTTTCACTAGGGATTGCTGAAAATACATTTTTCTGCATATGATTCTTTATAACAAAATATTAATTCTGATAATATATACTTTTCTTGACATAGAAACCATGAAATAACCCATAAAATGCAGTACACAAAATAAAATTGGTAATAAGCAAAACATTTTTCTTGCTAGTAATTCCCTAGAATTCTATGGCCTTTTGTGCTAACATCTTAATTTAAAAAATTATTTCAGATAATTTTTACTTTTTACAACACATGAAATCTATAGTACCATAAATAGTGCACAGCAAATAAAATTCTTAAAACTAAAACTTAAGCCTGAATCTTACCTTCCACTATGTCAGATGGCAGGGTGATGGTGTTTTACTGTATACTATACTGCTGTAGACCTCTCTACTTTGGCCTCCCTCTGAAAACCAAAGGAGAAGTTGCTGGGACTTTAATTGGTGCTGTCAGAATATGCCAAGACTGGTGAGGTCTCAACATCACCTCTGACGTTCTGTTAGAATTCCAATACCATTGGAATTGGAAATCGCAAAGAACACGCTAGCTTAAAATAATCCATTGGGTGACATCTGCTTTCTGTACCATTTGAGATCTTTAATGGTCTCCTGGCCGACAGCTGTTGCAGACATTTCACCATGAAGTTTGTTTAACACCTTTATTTCTCACTAAGCTACATCATTGACTTTGCAAACTCGGGTTTAGAGGCCAAAGGACTTGGACTATGCTTTGGGGCATAATTGCAACAAAAAAACTTGAAGTTTAAAGGCAAACAATGAACATATGTGACAAATATATAAGGAGCTCTTTACAACTGTAGCGTGAATAAGACCAGTAAAGCCCCTAGTAGGATACCAGCCACTCCAAAACCTGTCTTTTTTGTAGCTCTCATTTTTTCTCTACTGTGCATAGCTGGGAATGTGCCCAGTTGCCAACATGAGAGTGAAAATGAGGTTACCAACAAAACCATTCAAATGTTTGAAGTCACAAAACGTAAGTGGATAAATATTGAAGATTGATTGCATAAGCCATTTACTATCAAAAACAGTTGATCTGGAAAAATGGTGATGGAGAATCATTAGACTCCTTGAAAACCATGATGCAAAGAGAAAAAAAAAAAGCCTGGACACCATATTTCAAGAAATCATAAATGAAAACTGCCCGTGTCTATTAGAACCAGAGGGCAAAGTAATGTTAGCAAGATTCTACCAATCACTTCCTCCTAAAGGAACCTGAAAAGTAAAATTCCAGGAATGTCATTTCCAAAATCCAAAGTTTCCACAACAAAGTAAAAATTCTGCAAGCAACTGTAAAGAAGAAATTCTAAGTACCAGGAAACACAGTCTGGCCCACAAAAAAAAAAAACCTGGAAGCTTCTACTGAAAATGAGAAGAGATCTTAAAATATAATATTCCAAATGGAAAAGATAAAGGATTATAACCAAGAATAACACCCTATAAAGCTGAGTACGACCCTACATGGAAAAAAATTCATCTTTAATAGAGGACTTTCAAGCATTTCTGATGAATAGTCTCAAGCTAAGTGGGAATTTTGAAAGAAAAATTTAAGTATCTGGAGAAACTGAGAAAGACAAATTAATTTAAGTAACTGAAAGGAGTTCTAATATTCTGGTATTCTAATACTAGAATAGTGCTAATACTCTACAAGGGAGAAAAAGCAAGTCTCCTTTTGGAATTTTAATGTTTTTAAAGACTATAGGGGGAGTTAAATAAGAAAAACATACAGTTTGGAGATGTACTGGTTTTGTTCTGAAGGCTTTTAAAAAGGTAAAGAAGAGAGGATAAAAGGAATACACTAGTGTAGAAAAGAAGAAGGGGCAAGAAGTTGCTATTTCTCATAATTGGGATGTAGAAGTATATATGAACATGGAGGTAAAGAAGGGAACCTAGGTGGTGCAGTGAATTGTGTGCTGGGCCTGTAGTCAGGATGACTTCATCTTGCTGAGTTCAAATCTGGCCTCAGACACTTACTAGCTATGTGACCCTAAGCAAGTCACTTAACTCTGCCTCAGTTTCCTCGTATGTAAAATGAGCTGGAGAAGGAAATAGCAAACCATTCCATTATCTTTACAGAGAAAACCCAAATGGGGTCATGAAGAGTCAGACATGACTGAAATAACTGAACAACAACAAGAAGGAAGGGGAAGTGAACAGTTAATGAACCTCAATCTTATTTTGAAAGACTAAAGAGGCCGGAACATAGACAAACATACAAATGGTACAGAAATAAATAGGAAAACTAGCTGAGATGTTACCCACCTCATGACAGAGAGGCAATGGTCACAAAGTGAAGAAAGAGATCCTACTTTTCTGGAGATGGCCAACATGTGGATTCATTTTTGCTTGACTATGCTTATTTCTTTGTTTCAAGAGACTGT